TGCTTTCTACTTACTAGGTGCTGGTCATCATATTCTGTGCCTTATGTAAGAGGGTTAACTCTAATGTACTTCCAGTCAGGTTGGGATTTATTTCCAACAGCAAAGAAATTGAATTTTTTAAACTAGATATTAGATCTTATCTAAGTTTATTGGTTCCAGAGGACCAAAACATTATTATAATTGGTCTATTTTATAGTAGTTATGTTAGCTCTAAATACATAAATAAAAATCAACCTGCCAGTTTATGTAGTGTGGGAAAGGCTAAGTGACTTGCTTCCAGTGAGTACAATATGAAAGGGTGGGGAGCAGTGCCACCCTGGAGAAACGGCAAACTGACTCAGCCAGGGGATCAAGGTTAACATCGTTAGTGATAAATAATACTGATAGCATGTACTTTTGATATGATGCAACAAGGATGGCTCTTCACCTAAGTAGTATTCTTCCCTAAAACCCATATCTCTGGTCTATGAGAAAAACATCAGACACACCCAAATTTAGGGACATTCTGTAAAATATTTTTCCAGTATTTCTTATTTTTTAAAAATATGTTTTTATTGATTTTTTTTAGGGAGAGAGAGATAGAAGCATAGATGTGAGAGAGAAACATCCATCAGCCGCCTCCTGCACGCCCCCTATTGGGGATGGAGCCCAAAACCCAGGTGTTTGCCCTGACCAGGAATCTAGCTGGGACCTCTCAGTCTATGGGGTGATGCTCAATCCACTGAGCCATACCAGCAGGGCTTTCCAGTATTTCTTAAAACTGTCAAGGTCGCCCTGGCCGGTTTGGCTCAGCGGTTAGAGCGTCGGCCTGCGGTCCAGAGAGACCCGGGTTCGGTTCCCGCTAGGGGCACGTACTTCGGTTGCGGTTTGTCCCCGGACCAACCAGGTTGGTCGTGTGGGTGGCAGCCACTCGATGTGTCCCTTTCACGTCGATGTTTCTCTCTCTCTCTCTCTCCCTCCCACTCTATCTGTACAGAAAATGGAAAAATGTCCTCAGGTGAGGATAAAAAAAAAAAACAAAAACAAAACTGTCAAGGTCATTGCCCTGGCCTGGTTGCTTAGTTGGTCCCAATAACCAATAGGTTTCTGGTTGTGTGTTCAGTCTTCGGTCAGGGCAAGTAAGGGAGGCAACTGATTGATGTTTCTCTCTCTCTCCGTCTCTAAAAGATAAAAATAAAAACATATCCTCAGGTGAAGATTTAAAAAAAAACTGTTGCCCTGGCCAGTGTGACCCGGTTGAGTGTCGTCCCATGCTCCTAAAGGTCGCTGGTAGGATTCCTGGTCAGGGCACATGCTTAGGTAGCTGGTTCAGTCCCCAGTACGGGGCATGCAGGAGGCAGCCCACTGATGATGTTTCTCTCTTATCAGTGTTTCTCCCTCTCCCTTCCTCTCTCTAAAATTAATAACATATTTTCTTAAAAAAACTGTCAAGATCATCAAAAGCATGTAAGATGAAAAATTATCAATATGCTTAAGTCATTTTCATTCCTAAAAATAAATCTTCTGCTTCACTCTGCCTTTCCCTCTAGCTGTTGCCCTGTATTTAGTTCTTCCCTTTATCACTCATCCTGCTATTGGGGTTTTTAAAAATTCCATTCACTCCTCAGTCTTCAGTGTGTGGCCTCCTCCCCACCACTTTATAGAATCGTCAGTGCTAAGTTACTTGATTACTTAATTTTACTGACCCATTAAGTCTTGACCACTTATTGGTTTTTGACTCTGTTAATCATTTTCTAAAGTGTTCTTTCTCCAAGTGACACCATTTCCCCTTGTGTTGACTCCTTTCTGTCTGTACCATTCTCTCTTGCACCTCTTTAAATATTGGTATATCTCAAGATTCCATCTTAAAGCCTCTCTAATTCTTTCTGGACACATTCAATCGCTCTAGTGGTGTCAATTCTCACCCAAATGTTAACTCCCAGGTATTAATCTATAGCCCTACCTCTCTCCTGAGCATGTCCATAGTGGTAAACAGTTTCCACTTAGATAGGCCTTAGACTACTTTTTTTTTAATTGATTTTTTTTCCTTTCTTGATTTTAGAGAAAGAGGAAGTGAGAGGGAGAGAGAGATAGAAACATCAATGAGAGAGAACATCGATTGGCCACCTCCTCCTGCATGCCCCTCACTGGGGATTTGGCCCACAACTTGGGCATGTGTCCTCACCGAAAATCAAACCGGCGACTTCTTGGTGCATGGGTCAATGCTCAACCACTTAGCCACACTGGCTGGACTAGACTACTTATTTTTTAGGTAAAATTAATATAAGGAATTTCTTCTTTGCTCTGTACCCCAATCAGTGGCATTTTATTTAGTCCATCAGTCCTTTGACCTCTCCAGTCTCCAACATCCAAATGATTCCAAGTTCTGTCTATTCTGTCTCATCAAATCTATCCTCTCATTCCCATCCGCACCTCCTTAATTCAAGCCCTTGTGTCTTGCCAGGATTATGCAGTAGCTCTTCGATTAAGTCCATGCTCTACACTACTGCCAAAGTTCTTTTTTTTTTAAATTCTCTTTCCGTTTTTCTTCAGATAGAGTGGGAGGGAGGGAGAAAAAGGGAGAGAGAGAGAAACATGGATGTGAGAGGGACACATCGAATGGCTGCCTCCCGCACAACCCCAACCAGGGTCGGGGACGAACTGCAACCGAGGTACGTGCCCTTGACCAGAATCGAACCCGCGACTCATTGGTCTGTGGGCTGACCCTCTAACTGCTGAGCCAAACCGGCCAGGGTTAGAGTTCTTTTTAAAAGACATGTGATATTATCACTCCCTTAAAACTCAGTGATTCCTCATTTCACATGCAATTTCATTGCATGACTTTTAAAGGCATTTAGAATCTGACCAGTTGTTCCTTCTCTCCAGAATGCTATCCCCTTCCTTGTTCACCTTTAGGACCAAGTTTACTATCTCTTCTGCTGTTTACCCTACTCACTGCCTCTGCTGCATTCCCACAACTCATATAGTTTTACTGGTTTGACTATTTCAGTTACTTGTTGTCACAGTGGTAATACAGTGCCTGGACCTGCCTTCTCTAAGATAATGTTTGGTTTAATTAATAACATTTGAGAATTAAGCTCACCATTCTTGGGCTTAGTTTCCTGTAGTATAAATGAGTATGAGTACAATGTGGTTTTGTAAGTTAGAAGCTTCAAGCCTCATGCAATGTTGTTGCAAACTATTTCTGGTTATCTGTGTTCTGTATCAGAATGGATGCTACACATAAAAATTTGTATGTCGAAATTTTTCATTAGATGGAGGTGAAAAGGGGAGTTCATATGATCTTTTTTAGCATTGAGCTAAACATTTGGTTTTTCAAGTTTATTCTGATTTAAGCTCACCCATTTACAGAGATTTAATATTGAAGGTGAATGCGTATAGAAATGCTTGCTTTAAAAAAGGAAAGAAGAACTTTTTCATTTGTAGGAATAAATGTGATACTACACTTTAAGATAATTAAAAAGCAGTGGGTTTTTGCCCTGGCCGGTTTTGCTCAGTGGTTAGAGCGTCTGCCCGCGGACCATAGAGTCCCAGTTTTAGTTCCCACTAAGGGCACATACCTCGGTTGCAGTTTGTTCCTGGCCCCGGTTGGGGTCATGTGGGTGGCAGCCAGTCAGTGTGTCTCTCTCACGTCGATGTTTCTCTCTCTCTCTTCCCCCATCTCTCCCTCCCACTCTATCTGAGGATAAATGCAAAAATATCCTCGGGTAAGGATAAAAAAAAAAAAAAAAAGGCATTTTTTAAATTCTGGCCTTGAGTTACTGAATTACTTGCCTATTGTCTACTAAATTCTGCCTTGGTGTTAACATGCTCAATATTTGTTGATTAAATAGTTTTCTTAAAATTACTATTTACAGGTATAACTATGGTCCAGTCCTTTAAAGCAATCTCCTCATTCTAATATTTCTAATACTTATGAAAACTTTTTTAACTACAAGAAAAAAAGGAGTTAACAAGTAACAATTAGTATATTTAGGGGCATTTTTTCTTTTTCATTTTTACTGAAAAGGTAATTAATATTCTTGGTTTGTCTGGTTTTTTGTTGTTGTTGTTGTTGTTTTTTAAGGGCCAAAAGTTGTAGTGACGAGCAAATCTTCCTCCCACCCCAGACCTCAAAGTTCGTTTTGCTAGTCCCTTTTGTTGCCAGTTAATAGATGGAGGTACACTGTAGGCACTTCGGCACTTTTTAATTTACTGTATCAACATATATATTAGCATCTATACCTGAACCTCATTCTTTTTCATAGCAGCAAGTATTCCATTGTTTGAATGAAACTATTTAACTAGTTTTCTATTGATGGTCATCTAGATTATTTCTAGTACTTATAACCAGTGCTCTCATGAATAGTCTCATACACATCTTTATGCATGTATGCAAATGTATCTGTAGATTAAATTCACAGAAATATAACTGCCAAGTTAAAAAATATGGGGGAGGGGCTTTAAAATTTTGATATATGTTGCCAAATTTAGAAGAGTGTAATCTTAGAAGATGAAGATTTCTGATATAGTCCTATTTCCCCTGTGAATTGTATTATATATATTTTTTAATTATTCAGGGTCAGCTTTGCATATTTGCCAGCCATGTGTGTTTAAATGCTTATATTTTAGTGACAAACTTCACAAACTGCAGTTTAAAATGGTTAAAAGCAAATATCAATTAATAATCAGATGCCTATTTTTCCTTTCCCACAAAGAGTTGCAGGGGAGCATCATCTTTCTTGAGGCTGTACTTGTTTAACAGTGCTAGGAGTCCTTCTTTTCTTCCTTTGGAGGTGAGACTATCTGACCCCCACTCCCCAAAAATGAATTAACTTTTAGAAATGCATCTCAAAATGAAATAAGGTTTTGCTGACAGGTGAGTGAAAACAGTGATTGGAAATAAAGACTTGAGTCTTCCCTCTTGCTTAAACCCAATGAAATTATGATGCTTGCCCAAAATAAAAGTTACAATTCCTATGTGAGGTTGTCACATTCTCACACTGTATATTTTCTTTCAGATTCCTTTGTTTCTTCCTCTTCCTCTCAGCCTGTATCTCTATTTTCGACCTCACAAGGCAAGTCTGTCATTTTTTGTGTGTACATTAATAAAAGAAAAATGTTGAGAAAGAGGCTGTAACCGGGGATATATGGCATAAGTTTTCTATTGCCCTCGAATCCCTTAAAATAAAAACGAATCACAAGCCAGTTCTTTATACTATTTAGCAGTTTCCAATGGATTTTCTGTAAAGGTTAATAAAGTAGAATGAGGCTAGGTGGATCTTATAACAGCATAAGCTTGAGATGTGGTTTTGAGTATTTCTTAAAAATTAAAAACTTGCCCACAGAATTCGGAACAGATTGAATTGTGGCTCAGAAAAAACCCACCCCCAGAATGCATTTAACTTACTGATTTTCAGTTATGTAACTGCTTTGAAGAATTACTGGATTTGGAAAAACAGTAAAAAATGTGCTTCTACTGAACTAATATACTCTCTTAGCTAGTTTTTTAGTGTGAACTTCTCTGAAATTTATCCCAAGAGCTTGGCTAGTTCCAAATTGCCTAGGAACATTGAACAAGTCAATTGACTTTTTAGCAAGCGAGGCTTGTTTTCCTACAGATTGAGCTGTGACTTCTTTTTTCTAGATCTGCCAACCAATGAGGAAGGGAATCTGAGTGAGATAGCTATAGGTTGTGGAGGTGGTAGCACTGCCAAGAAGCTGGAGGAGAGTGCTGTGTGCTTTGTTGATTTGCACTAAAAAGCACTGCTTTGCTTTACTGTTGTACTTAACATCAATATAGGTCAGTGGAAAACCCTTATTTTTAAAAAGGTAATTAAACTCACTAGATAAGTCTAAGAAACCCTGTGCAGTTTGTTGTCCCCACTGAATTCTCTAGAAGTCTGGATGCTGGCTTGTTAGGGAGACTTGGACATTATAAGAATAAAAATGTAATGAGGTAAATGAACGCAGCAAAATATTTTCAAGGTTTAATCTACTTCTTAGGAAACATGATAGATATGATAGATAATTTGTTGCTTTTAAGTGATACTTTGTTGATTTTAAAGGCTGCTAACATAGAGCCCCCAAACCCTTTATAATGTGCCTTGCTGTATTTTGATATCATGTTGGTCAAATCATGACCTTTGAAATCAATGTGTTTACATTAAAAGATAGATATTTTGTGAATGTTAGAAAGTAACTCAAACCTACAAAGTGATTCTTGACATCTGGAACCCAACCAGAATATTTTTGTTAATCTTCACCTAAGGATATTTTTCCATTGATATTTTTTTTTCTTTAGAGAGAGTGGAAGGGGAGGGGAGAATCATCAATGTGAGAGACACATCGATTGGTTGCCTTCTGCACGCACCCCAACCGGGTCTGGGAATCGAACCTGCAACCCTCCAGTGCAAGAGCTGACACTCTAACCACTGAACAGTGCCAACCAAGGCTCGACCAGAATATTTTTAAGGGCTTTGTTTTGTTTCCCCATTGGAAATTCAGTAATTTAGGTAAATAGGTATTACATTTATTCCACTCTGGAAAATAAACCAGTAAAAATACAGTGTAAAAAGAACAAATAATTATGTTTCTCTACTGTAAATATTTTAGTTCTTATAAAATACATTCTTTATAGTTATAACTTTAACTTTTTTTTATATAGAAGGGATAATTGATATCCTAAGAAGGGTAACAGTGTAACCCAAGCACAACATACCTAGTGTATGAAATGTTGGGAAGATAACTATCATAGCTTTAAAAATTATTTTAATTCTTGTTAGGAAAAATTACACATACACTCAAGTAGAATGGAGGCAAATAAAAAGGATTTTTTAAAATTAAAAACGAATGTTTAAGTAGGCTTCAGTTTCACAGTGAGTTTGTAAAAGAGAATAGATTTATCATTCTTTTAGCTTATAAAGAGTTATGTTGAAATCTATAATCATGTCCTCAGGTGAGGAATAAAAAAAAAAGTTATTTTGACCCATGCAGATTCAGGATAGTGTTATTGCTAAAAGGGTATTGTAAAGAGACAGTTAAAAATGTCATATTCCCGCCCTGGCCAGTTTGGCTCAGCGGTTAAAGCGTCGGCCTGCGGTCCGGAGAGACCTGGGTTCGGTTCCCGCTAAGGGCACGTACTTCGGTTGCAGTTTGTCCCCGGCCCTGGTTGGTCGTGCGGGTGGCAGCCACTCGATGTGTCCCTTTCACATCGATGTTTCTCTCACTCTCTCCCTTCCTCTTTCTCCCTCCCACTCTATCTGTACAAAAAATGGAAAAATATCCTCGGGTGAGGTTAAGAAAAAAAAAAAAAAAACATTAAAAAAAAAAAAAAGGTCATATTCCCTGCTGTTCCAATCCAGCCTCTATTATGGCGTTTCTTTTGCAAAACAAACACATATAAACACACACGTAATAGAAAAGTAACACAGTTGGTGCTCTGCTTCATTGGCAGGTCCAAAGAAAGATCTGTTCAGTTGTTTGAGGTAAGTGATTAGGTGTGTTCCAGAGTAGCCAAGATTGGTGCTTCTAGCCTGGCCTGTGTGGCTCAGTGGAACGAGCGTCATCCCATGGACTGAGAGGTCCTGGTTGGATTCCTGGTTAGAGCACATGCCTGGGATGCAGGCTTGATCCCCCTGTAGAGGGTGTGCAGGAGGCAGCCAGTTGATGTTTCTCTCTCACATCAGTGTTCCTATCTCTCTCTCCCTTCCTCTTTCACTGTAAAATCAATAAAAACATAAGAAATAAAATAAAAATAAAGGAAGCCCTGGCTGTAGTTCAATTGGTTAGAATATTGTCCAGATAAGCCAAGGTTTTGGGTTCAATTCCCGGTCAGGGTACATACAAAAATCAACCAATGAATACATAAATAAGTGGAACAACAAGATTAATGTTTCTCTTTCTCTTTCCTCATCAGTAAATAAAATAAAATAAATAATAAGAGAAGAGGAAGTTGTTGGTGTACTGAGACATTTTCACATTTAAAAATGAAATTTTTAATCCTGAAATATATACTTATCATTATTGGGCTTCAGTGAGATGCATGTGCCAAACACTGTTATTAGTTTGGACTGAGTAATGACAGCCAGTTTAGTATTTCAAAATAAATTATGTAATATTTACTAAGTTGTACTACTTTGAGGTATACAGCTACTTAAGCTAGCAGTTTAAGGTTTTTGAAAGCTAATGACTAGATTTGTGATAAGAATGTCAGTGGAATAATCAGTTTTACTCCTCAGTAGGTCTTTTGCTTACTGATTCCTCCCCTCTCCCCCCATTAAAAGTTAAATTGCAGCCTAATCCCTGAGCAATTCAAAATAAGGGAGTTAATAATGTTTTTCTGTATTGTGAAATAAAGATATGAAGAGGTATAGATGTAGTACATGGCTAATTTTTACTGAGTTTATACAATGCTCAGTACTTTATTGTTATTTTTTTTAATATTTATTGATTTGAGAGAGAGAGAGAGAGAGGAAGGGAGAGAGACAAGACAGAGAGACATTGATTTTGTTGTTCCACTTACCTATGCATGCATTGGTTGATTCTTGTATTTGCCCTGATGAGGATCAAACCCAAAACCTTAGAATATCAGGATGATACTCTAACCAATGGAATTATCAGGTCAGGGCTTAGTACTTTATATGAATTATCTCATTTAATCTTCATAGCCACTTTTATGGAGAAAAGATACTAGCTCTTTTACCAGTTGAGAAAACGGGGGTTTAAAATGGTGAAATAACCTGCTCAGGGTCACACTGTGACAGAATTAGCGCCTAGGACTTCAAAGCCCATGCCCATAACCACTACGTAATATAAAGATGATAAAGTATATTTGTTGGATTTTAGGGTTTACAGATATTTTTAGAGATGTTATTTTGAGGTTAATATTAAAATCACAAGAGCAGAAGAGGCAGAAATTATTATTTTAATCATATTATTGCTTCTAGTTATCGCAATTTAGTATCATTTGGGTGGATGTATTCCTTCCATCAGACACAAAATCAAACTGAAATTTGGGTTCTACTTTTGAAACCTTTGATGAAAGAGTAGGCTGGAAAAGACTGATTTTCTTTAGAAAACATTGGAAGAAAAATAGGTGAAAATAAAATAGGAGAGGATTCCTCCACCATGCAGAACTGGAAGTGCATTTGCAGTAATCAACATTTGCATTCGAGTAACGCAGTAGGCATCTGGAATAGGAAGTTAAACACTGAACTTTGGGGCAAGCATTGAGGAGGAAAATTTGCCAGTTACAGCCTTTTTTTAAACAAAAGCAAAACATTTTTCTTTGTACAAAAGAGATTTTTTGTTTAGGATCTAGCTTGGCTGCAAAGTGTCTGCTGGCTGACTTCCTATTTTGATGCTGCTGTGGCTGAAAGTTGCTGATGTTTTGCACGAAAATTTGTCTTTCTTGTTTTGTGAACATGAGAAAATTCAAGTGTAGGAAAACCTATACCTGAATATTTCAAGCCTCCCTTGTATGTATGCATAATATGTATGTGAAAAAGTAAGCTGGCAGTGTTTCTTCACTGATGGTTTTTCCAAGTTACAGGTACTCTTTTAATTAAAAATAATAATGCCTAAGGGGTGGAGGAGTAATCAGTAACCAAATGGCAACTGTAACAGACTTGTAAGTCATTCACTCTTCTTAGGAAGAACTAAAGGACAGTTTGGGGAGTAAGAAACAGTGAAGAGAAGATATTTTGAAGCGCAAACATATATATATATACACATATACATACACGGTTTTCTTTACTTTGAATATATTTACTTGATGTGTACAAGGCATTCACTTGGAAGTTTTTGCATCATGTAACTTTTAATTCCCACCTTGTTCTATAAGATAAAATACCCTGAGCATAGAAGAGGGGAATTTATAACTCAATTCCCACACCATATTCTCTAGCCAAAAGGAACTTTTCCTTATTCCAATTAAAATGTCAAGTTACTGTGCTTTAAAATTAGTATATGGATGTATTTAAAACAGGCACAAAGGGACAGCTCCTGCCCCATCCCCTTCTAACCTGCAGGTTGTGCTCCCGGACAGAGGAGGCCTGTGGGGAGTACGAGTGTCAGCGTCATCTGTGGGCTTTTTACAGGACCAGTGTTCTGAAATACAACTCATTCTCTCTGCTCTTCTAGAGCTAATAAAATATAATTGAGGTGTGGTTCTCAAATCAGATTTATTCCCTGGGAACTTGTCATGCAGATTCCTGAGCTTTATCTTCATCTAGCAATTCTCAGTCAGGAAGTCAGAGGTGAAGCCTGTGAAGTACTAGTGAAGTACCTGTCGATGCTCTGAAGTTTGAAATGGACTGTAAAAGATGGTGCCAAAGGCTGTTTTTGTGCTAGGTTATTAAATGGTTCAGCTAGTCGGACATTGAACTAACATATACTTTGTCCTTAATGGTGATAAAGATCATTTACTGAAACATTTTGTTCAGGAAACTTTTATCTTTCAACATTGGCTTACAATTTTTTTTTAATATTGGCCTGCCTTAAATGTCTTTATCCACATAGAACCTAGTTCACTTCTTGGAATGTCATAGGTATTTGGTTTGTACATCACCCAAAATTTTGAAGTAGGTAAAAGCTCTTTAAATTTCTTTCTTTTATTTGTGAATGGTAGGAGGGAAGGTGTCTAAAACTCTGAATGAGGATTTTCTATATTATTTACCAGGTGAAAGTAGTTATAATTGGACAGTTTGTCTTTCTTTTTTCTCTCTCCTAATAAAAAGGCAGATGGTCTGGAGTCTGTATGTCAGGGGAGTTTTGTTTTTGGTGTTTTTTTTGTTTTAAGAGTGTGATGTGTGGGGACATTTGTTGAAAATTTGCAAAGTGCCAGATGCTGTTCTAAGCACTTCACATGTACTAATTTAATCCTGACAGCAGTTCTCAAGTTAGGTGCTTTAGTATCCCCATTTCTTAGATGAGATTAAGCAATTTGCCAAGGCCACATGATTAGTAAGTGCGATGAAAGGAATTTGCATATTTAATTGGAAATTTTGGCTTGGGGATGGTCTAGAAATTTAGAATATAACTGCCAACTTAATTTCCTAGTTTTGTTTCAGAAAATATACTTAAATGGAGACATAAGAATTTAGAGTTTAAGAATACCAGGGATAACCAGGGAGCTCAATACTTGATTATTTGGGAGACATTCTATGATCATTATAGGGTTAGGACATTTTTATCTCTAACCATATATTGACTCTGTTCTAGTAGATATGTAACCCTTGTTTGTTAATAGAGTATTGCCATATTTTTAAGTGATTAGAATTCTTGAAAATGAATGTGCTCATTAAATCCTTTAATAGCAATAGAAAATATTCATAATGAGGGAATTTTTTGACACATTTGTTTTGAGTCTTCTGTTTTTTGTTTTGACATTTTTATTTTACTTTATTTTATTTATTTTTTATTTGTTTTGAGTAGTGTTGAAAGTCTCTTGTATTGCATGTGAAGGGCTGGGTCTTTTGAAAGAAGAAAGGGTAGTGAACATTTTCTGAGATGTAAGATAATCTGGAGTTATTTCATCAGGCAGTTTTACAGTGTATAGTATTTTAACAGCTAGCAATTTTCAAACTCCCTGGTGTTTTCTGCTATTTTACCAGGTACAGACTTGGACAACACCAGTGACTTATCAAGTGCCATAGTGACTAATTGGAAGAGTCTTTATTTGCTTATGGAAGCTGTTCTACAAGGCTTATTAGATTCTGGTCTTTGTTCTATTTATGTTTTCATTTCTTTATAAACTCTACTTGCAGCCCATTCTTTTCCATTATCTTGGTATAACTCAGGTCTGTCCAAGTTTTAACCAGCCAAAGAAATGTCTTTTCATTTGCAAAAATTCTGAACAAGATAATTAAAATCAAAGCACAGGTGACTTTTTTGCTACATGTGGGAAAGCTTGATTGACAGTCATAGAGCTAGCACCTGCATCTCCCAATCGCTAAGGAATGAATACAGCATCATACTGTTTACCCCCTAGGCTTGCTATCCATTCCAAATAGTGTCACAAAATTATTAGTAGGGAATGTGATCAAGTTCTTTTGTCCATATAATAGTTATATCATATTACAGAATCTTTAGTTAAAATGCTTGAAATCTGTCAGGCAGTTATGGCATTCAGTATAGAACTTGTTGGTATTGTGAGAATAAGATTGCTGACCTAGCTCTGTTCAGCGTGGCTCAGTTGGGCACTGGTCAGGGCACATGCCCAGGTTTCAGGCTCGATCCTCAGTAGGGGGCATGCAGGAGGCAGTCAATCTATGTTCCACTCTCACATCAGTGTTTTTCTCTCTCCCTTCCCTTCCTCTCTCTTAAGAAATAAAGAATTAAAAAGTATTTCTGACCAATCTTCTAGCTGCACCTCAGATTATTATACACATCATTTAAAACTTTTGAAGTATTAAGAGTTCAAGAAAGAAGAGAAGCAAGGCTTGGGAAACTGAGAAGTTTGTGTCCTGACAAGGCATAGGATGTTTCTACTGAGCCTCCCATCCTCCCCCACCCAGCAATGTTTGTATTCTTTAATCAGCAGTCAATGTAGGTTGCTTTCTTTTTCATTTCATTAAGCCCACCACCCAATCATCCTCATTTTACTTACTGGTTTTGCTTATTGTCTATCTCCTGCTCTGTATTGTAGGCTCCACAAAGGCAAGGATTATTTTCTGTTTTCTTCAACTGCTTTTAAACTAGTTTCTAAAACAGTGTCTGGCACATGATAGGCACTCAATAAATTTTTGTTGAATTATTCCAAATTCATTTTGTCCATTCTGACCTGTAAGATGCCAGGTCAGAGTCATCTGAAATCTCATTCTCTATAAAACCTATAAATTGAGCATTCTCTGAGGTGGAGTCAGTTTTACACACCTCAAAGTTTTATTCCTGTTTGAAGGGAGGGGTTCCCAAACAGTTTTACCTTAGTCCAGGTCTAGTGCATTGAGCGTTTCCTAGTAGAAACAGTAACTAGTAAATTCAGTAACAATACATAGCTCAGATTATAGAATATTTCTGATGTAAATGTAGCTTATAGTTCTTTAAATTTCAGGAGTTTAAACCTACAGTGTTGATATTCATTTATATCCTTAATCCACCTTGCTGAAGATCTATACTATGTAATGATAGATGTGACCATGTGTACTACATTAGAACTAAATATAAATTACAGCTCACTTCAAATACTTTCTCTCCTGCTAGTGCAGTCTGTACCACCAAACTTTTTTTCCTCAGTTTATAAAGACTTTTTACCCAGATTACACTCATACTATTCTAAAAGTCCAATTCCTATTACATCAAATTTCAGCGATGTCTTGAAATAGAGGAATATTATCTGGACTTTGGGAACATTTTTTTAAAATATGTTTTTATTTTTTATTTTTTTAAAGAGAGAGGAAGGGAGAGAGAAATGGAGACATCAATGTGAGAAACATTGATCGGCTGCCTCCTGCACACCCTGTACTGGGGATCGAGCCTACAACCTGGGCATATGCCCTGACTGGGAATCGAACCAGGACCTCTTAGTCCATGGGATGACACTCAATCCACTGAGCCACACTGGCCGGGCAGATTTTTATAATGAATTTATTCATTGCAATAAGATGTTCTTATTTATTTTCATATTTATAACATTATTTTGAATAAGTAATAGTTTTTATTTTGTCTAATAATTATTTAGCTTCTCATGTGAAAAAGAACATAAGCTGAATAAGAGTAAGCCCAAAGATTTTTCTCATTCACTCTTCCCAATTATTCCTCCACACTCAAGGCATTGCTGTCCTGAGTCTACTTAGGTCTCACCTGTTCAACCTGAACCTCTGATTCATTCATATGGAATGATTTAAGACCTACTTTGTTCCAGCTCCAAAGATGCAACAGTGTGCAAGAATGCATCAGACAGCGCCTGCCCTTGGAGCGGTTGTTCTGATCTTCTTTCCCAATAAAAACTTGTTAGATTGGGAAGTTGGAAAACAATGTGGTAAATCAGTGCTTACTGTGCTATTAATAACTGATAAGCCTTAATTAATGTATGCTTTTTAGAAGGACATTTTCTGTTTTAAAAGGACATTTCCATTTTCCAGGATTTCTGGAATTAACTCTTCTTAACTTAAACCAATTTGCACAGTTCAGTTGGGGTTAAATTGGCAAGTTGGTGCAGGAGAGTTTGGAACAGGCCAACTTTTTCAGTACCTTTAGTTTAAAATATTGAGGCCATCTATACCTGGGACCAGTCTTCCCAGTGGGTAGGACAGAATAATTTTAGTCTGATTTTTAGGCACAGAAGGGATTCACTGTCTCTCCTGAAAATCAAAAAGAACTCTAGTCATTATTTTTTCTTCTCAGATTCTCAGACTATAACAGTGGATTTATAGAAGCAATGTGTTCTGTATTGTTCAGTTTACAGATGAGAGCATAGCAATGCTTTATAATATCTGTTGTTTCTGTTAAATAACTCTACTAAAACAAAGAAGAAAAACTTCCCCAGATTTCCCAGTCTCTTCTTTCTGCTTTCCCTTTACAATGGAAAAAGCAGACTGAAAAGTATTTTTCATGAATTTTTTGTTGTTATTTGCAATTTGTAGCATGATATGGCTTTTCTGTTTCACCTTGGGCAATTTTATGCATGTCTTACTGGATAACTGTTGGCATTGTTTTGTTAAATATTTGTGTGTGTATATATACATCCTGTGTGTATATATGTAATTTTAAAAATAAAAAGCATGCTGCTTGGCCTGACTAGCTAATGTGTACTTGTACTTGGTAAACAATTTTTTTCTTTCAAATTCTAATCATAGAGGGATTGAGCTCTCTTTGCTCTGATGAGCCACCTTCAGAAATTAGGACTTCTTCCTTTTTCTCATCTTCTGAAATACATAACACTGACCTTACAATATTACATGGAGAACAAAGCAAAGTGTTAGGCAGCCAGACTATTTTGGCTGAAGAAGGAAAAGGAAAAGGCTGCTTGGCTCTTCTAGATGTGAAAAAGATGGAAAAGTCTCCGGGGACCAGTAAAGACGGAGCCAACTCCCCCGTTTCTATTGCAGAAGGAGGTCACTGTAACCGTCCTTCCATTCCAGCCAGTTTCCCAGATCGTCCTGCTTTTCTCTCTAAAGAGGTTGTTCAAATGCAGGAGCAAATAAGTGAAGATCAAGAGTCCAAGAACCCAAGTGAGATACCAAGTAGGGACAACAAAACAGCCTTGGATGCTGATGGCAAGTTCATCGCACTAACAGCCCAGAAACCAACCACCGAGCAGTCTAAGGCAGAAGGCATTTGTACATACTCCTTGTCCCCATGCAAAGTTTCAGCAGGTGGTATTATTGAAAAGGATTCCCCTGAATCACCATTTGAAGTAATTATTGACAAAGCAGCATTTGACAGAGAATTTAAAGATGCATATAAGGAGAGCGCAAATGATTTTAGTAGTTGGGCAATGCACACTGATAGAGAGTCATCTGCAGACATTTCAGAGTCCAATGACAAAGTATTTCCACTAAGAAATAAAGAGGCCGGGCGTTACCCAACCTCTGCATTGCTCACTAGACAGTTTTCACACACAACTGCAGCATTGGAAGAGGTGTCTAGATGTGTGAGTGATATGCATAACTTTACTAATGAAATATTGACTTGGGATTTGGTTCCCCAAGTGAAACAGCAGAGCAATAAATCTGACTACATCACAAAAACTACAGGACTTGATGTGAGTGACTATGATGCAAAAATTCCCGTTGTAAATCTTAAAACTAACACTCATCAGAAAATTTCTGTATGTTCTATTAATGGGAGCACTACCATCACTAAATCAACAGGTGACTGGGCAGAAGCATCTCTCCCACAAGAAAACGCTGTAATTGAAAAACCTATACCAGACTGTCTCGATTCCACAACAGACATCAATATCAAAGGTGTGCGAGACAATGTGCAGACACAGGATGACACACTCTCAGAGTTACCTGGGTCTCCTTTTGAGAAATGTGTCTCTTTGGGTTGTGGAGTGACCACAGTGAAAGTGGTTTTACCTGATGGCCACCTGGAAGGTGACATGAACTGGCAGAGCTCTGTGTTGGGAGAAGGGACAGAGGCTGATAGTTCTGGTGAGTCTGATGACACAGTAATAGAGGACATCACAGCTGATATTTCATTTGAAAGTAACAAAATTCAGGCTGAAAAACCCGTTTCCATTTCAAGTGCTATTGTAAAAGCAGATGAAAGAGAAATCAGAGAGATTCTCCATTATAACAGGGAAATCAAAACATTTGAAAACTTTGAAGAGTTGATCAGTGACTCTGAGCCGAAAGTTCAGCCTGATGTTCTCAAAAAGAGTCCAGCTGGTATGGTGGCTTGTTCCCAAGCATGTGATATGAATGTCATGTCAGGAGATGTGAAGCAGTCGCATAGAATGAGTGAAAATATTCCTGGAAAGGTTGTTACCACTGAGGACCCAAAACTTCCTTCAGCATTTTCAAATATTTTTAATAAGATGGAACTCTCACTAAATGTGACAGGCTCTGCCTCTTTGGAGTCATTACATGAAAAAAGTATTAAAGATGTAGATGATTCTTCCCCAGAGGACCTGATAGCAGCCTTGACAGAAACCAGGGAGAAAGGAATAGTAGATAAATGTGAAGGAAATGCATTTGAAGCAACGTCAGAGAAGACTACAGAGTTCAAAACAGCTCTTCCTGTAAAAGTCTTGCTTGAAAGTGAGTCAGGTGGTTCCGAAATTAAAGACATAAAAAGCAAGTACTCTGAACGAAACAAAGAAACAAGTGGAAGTGAGCTTCTGGATGTTTTCTCCACCCAAGGATCTTCAGTAGCATCTCTTGACTTAGAACAGGAATGGCTCACAATCAAAGCCCTTAAAGAAGTGAGTGAAAGGCAGGTGGAGAAGTCGGCTCCTGCACAGGATCAAGTAGAATCTCCTTCTAAAGAAATACTCAGACAGACTCACACATTTGCTCCAGAATCTTCTCAGCCACAGAGATTTTGTGGTGTCCCAGAACACACAGATGTCGAGACTGGATCTGATCTCGGGATTTCCAAAAAGCCCACTGTTATCAAAGAAACTACTAGTGTAGATTTTATTTCCAGCCTTAGCAAGACTGAACTGGTAGACAAGCATGTCCTAGCAAGACTTCTGACAGACTTCTCAGGTAACCATTTACATTAGAAATACTGCATGTGGTTAATTCTGCTATGATTAATTATTTATCGGAGTGCCATTTTTTTAGTTTCTGACTTATATTTTTGAAATTATGGCTAAGATAAAAACACAGTATTAACTGGAGAAAGGTCGGTTTTTTTAGTGGTTGATTAGGTTTTCTTTCCTTTTTTTAAGAGAGAGTGGAAGGGAGGGAAGGAGAGAGAAACATCGATGTAAGAGACACATCAATTGGTTGCCTCCTGCATGACCACAACTGGGGCCAGGGATGGAACCTGCATGTACGTGCCCTTGACCGGGAATCGAACCCAAAACCCTTCAGAGTGGGCCAATGCTCTAACCATGGAGCCACATCTGTCAGGGGTGATTTGGTTTTCTTATACAAATATTTCCCAAAATAGTAGACCCCCTCATTAAAATTAATATTCTGCTTATAAAAGTAATTTTTTTACTACAATTTTTTCTAGGTTCTTCTTTTCTTATTTATTGACCCTAGGGTGAACACTGATTTTAATATCTTTGGGCTCTTATTTATTTGCAAAGCTTATTTTAAACCTCCATAATAATAGCACTGCTTAGCACTTGGGTTTTTTGCTATGGGCCTTATGAAATCTATTTGGCAATCAAAGATAAAAGAATTCCCACTGGGAGGGATAGTAAATGAAACTTTTAATTACTTTGATATTATACCATAGAGAGTTTATGCTCTGAAAGTAGGTAACCTGTATTGTACTATTTTGTAAGTAATACTTAAGAGAATTCATGTATTCTTCTACTTTGGACCTTATTTAATATTCTTTTTTTTTTTTTTCTTCATTGATTTTAGAGAGAGAGGAAGGGAAAGGGAGAGATAGAAACATCAATGAGAGAGAACATCGATTGGCCGCCTCCTGCATGCCCCTCCCTGGGGATTGGGCCCACAACCTGGGTATGTGCCCCAACCAGGAATCGAACCGGCGACCTCTTGGTGCATGGGTTGACACTCAACCACTGAGCCATACTGGCCGGGCTTATATAATATTCTTCAGGCCAAACTGATTATATGGTACTAGAAACCCTTCCCCTTATCTTCCATTCATTTGAATGATTACTTTCCTAGCAATTGGCCTTCAGTTAAATTATTTCTAATGCTGTCTGTTCTGGTATCTTGGAAAGTGTAAGAAAAAAAGGATATTTAAGGCCCTCCAAAAGGGACATTCAACCTCTAATCTGATACCAAGTTCTGTACTTACTTTATGGTCGGTGTTAGGTGTTATGTAGGGATTTATGGTTTTTCAAACTTGTGACAATAGATCCCTTTTTTCAAATGAAATTATATAGGGAGTTATGATATTTAAAACAAAAATGAGATTTTTATTAGTATAAACTTGTAAGTGTGATTATACCACTTACCTTTTTTTCTGTAAGGTTTTGCTATGCATAGAGTGGGGAGGGGGCTCAGCCCTTAGCAGCTGGTTTCCTCTTCTTATTGCAGCCAGAACACTGCTCAGCTCCTCTGGCTGGGGTCACCCTCATGAGGAGCGAATTACATACCTCTCGGATCTTGTCCCTCACCACCTTGCACTAACTTGGTGTGGTTGGTGAGGTGCCAGTGCCCCAGTTGTGCCTTGGCTTCCTGACATTCTTGGTCACTTTGTGGCCCTTGTTGGGGCCCATGGCCATAGGGTACCACAGAGCCGTGGCGGCTGTGGCAGACGGGTACCATTTACCTTTTATAGAGTCATTTCCTGATTAAAGACCATGGGGTAGATAACTTGATCTTCCTAAATTTTAATCCTTAAAATAGAGTTGGTAATTTATAATAGTATTGTGAGGGTTAAATGTGAAAATGCAAGATGCAGTACCTAGGACATAGTAAACATTCATTTAGCACCAAGTATAGGACCTGGCTGGATAGTTATTTGTTAATTAATTAATTGTTAATTAAGTGAATCTTATCAGTGAAAACGTCAAGGCTTTTTTATAAACTCAAAAATTTGAAATGGCATTAAAGGATAGCTGTTACTCTCTAGTAATTGAAGATTATTGAACTTGGATTTAGGAGTACTAAGTCTCATTATTGCTTTACTGTGTCTAGAAATGTGACATTGAACAATTACATTACATCACCTTTGGGGGCTTCAGTTTTCTTATCTGTGAAGTAAGGTGTTGAAGTAGATGATCTTTAATATCACTTCAATGATATGATTCTCTGATATATCTTAGGTTTCTTCATGAATTATTATAATTCTTACAGTAATCTTTTGAGTGATGAGGCATATGGGAATTAGGCTATATGCCAGTGTCTAATTCTGGCAAGTTCCTGCTTTAGTGTGACCTTAGACAACTGGCCTAACTGGTTCAGCATTTTCCTTGTTAATATGGTGATAATTATTTTGCCCTGCTTTATAGTGTTGTAGTAAATAAAGTTCTGTGTAAATACTAATTAGTAATTCTCAACTGAGTTATTTAATCTAGTATGAGAGGTGAAAATGGCTATGGAAGTTTAGGAATTTGTCACAAATTCTGTGAGTAGTGGATATTTTTAGATAATAATTAAGGAAGATCACTATAATTAGACCAAGAAGATGACAGGTCTTCCTTTGTGGGTTTCAGAATTGAAAACCATTTTAAATGGTCTTTAAAGTATAAACTACTTTAGTAAAATGTGTCAGTCTCTAGTTCTTTTCCAAGTGCACAAGGTATACATTCATGAGTGTAGACAATAATGCTAGACCATAAAACAACTCAGTAAATTCAGAGGATTAAAATAATATAAAATATGCTCTAAGACCATAATGAAACAAAATTTTAAAACAAGGAAAATTAAATACCTAGGAAAATTCCCAAATATTTGGAAATTAAGCAGACACTTTTGCATAATCTATAGCTTAACAAAATCACCAGAAAAAAATTTAAATGGTTTAAACTGAATGACAATGAAAATACAATACAGTATATCAAACTGGTGGGACACAGTACTGAAAGGGGAACGTATAACTCTAAATACTTAGGTAAGAAAAGAAAAAATATCTAAATCCAGTGATCTAAGGTTTCAACTAAAGAAGCTAGAAAAAGAAGATCAAAGTAAACCCAAGTAAGTAGAAGGAAGGAAATTATAATGGTAAGAGCAGAAATCAATGGAATAAAAAAAATTGACAATGCCAAAATTTGGCTTTTTGAGAAGATAAAAAAAATTGATTTCTTGATTAATCAAGAAAAAAGAGAACACAGCCCTGGCTAGTTTGGCTCAGCGGTTAGAGCGTCGGCCTGCGGTCCAGAGAGACCCGGGTTCGGTTTCCGCTAAGGGCATGTACCTCGGTTGCAGTTTGTCCCCGGCCCTGGTTGGGTCATGCGGGTGGCAGCCACTCGATGTGTCCCTTTCACTTAGATGTTTCTCTCTCTCTCTCTCCCTCCCACTCTACCTGAATAAAAAATGGAAAATGTCCTCAGGTGAGGATAAAAAAAAAAGAGAGAACACAAATTACCAATATCACAAGATTCTACAGATATTAAAAGGATAATAGAATATTATGAACAACTTGATGCCAACAAATCTATCAACTTAGATCAAATGGACAAATTCCTTGAAAAATACAGCTTACCAAAGCTAGCATAATTTTTATTAAATTTGTTATAAAAAATCTTACCCCCTCACACCCCCCAAAAATTGTCCAGGCCCAGAGGTTTTACTAGAGGATTCTTCCAGGCATTTAAGGAAAAATGAGATAACACTTTCCAAATCATAGATTAGTATATAATACCAAAACTGAACAATTACAAAAAAGTTATAGACTAATATCCCTCATGAACATAGAAGATGAAAAATTCTTGCAAAATATTAGCAAATCAAATCCAACAATATATCAAAAGGTTAATGCATCATGGCTAAGTGAGGTTTGTTCCAGGAATATAAGCTTGTTTTAAGATTGGAAATTTAGCCCTGGCCAGTTTGGCTCAGCGGTTAGAGCGTCCACCTGCGGTCCGGAGAGACCCGGGTTCGGTTCCCGCTAAGGGCATGTACCTCGGTTGCAGTTTGTCCCTGGCCCTGGTTGGTCGTGCGGGTGGCAGCCACTCGATGTGTCCCTTTCACATCGATGTTTCCCTCTCTCTCTCTTCCTCTCTCTCCCTCCCACTCTGTCTGTACAAAAAATGGAAAAAATGTCCTCAGATGAGGATTAAAAAAAAAAAAAAGATAAGATTGGAAATTTAATCAACATAATTCACCACTTTAACATAATAAGAGAAAAAAATTATTTCAATTGATACACAAAAAGGTATGTGAAAAAGCCCAACTTCCTTATCTGGTAGAAAAAAAATTCAGACTAGAAATAGAAGGTAATTTCCTCAATCCAATAAGTGGCATCTATTGAAAAGTACAGCTGATGTTGTATTTAATGCCAAAGTATTGAACACTTTTCCCTCTATGATTGGGTAAAGCAAGGATGCTCAGTCTGGACATTTGTATTCAGCATCACACTGGAGGTCCTACTTGGTGAATTACAACAAGAAATAGAAATAAAAGGAATAAAGACTGGGAAAGAAGTTGTTAAACTGTCTTAATTGTAGATGACATGATTGTTTACATAGAAAACCCTAAGGAGTCTACAAAGCAACTAGGAGTAATAAGTGAATTTAGCAAGGTTATGGCATATTAGGTTAATACACAAAACTCAGTTTTAGCCCTGGCTGATTTGGTTCAGTGGTTGGAACGTCAGCCCAAGGACCAAAGGGTCTCGGGTCCGATTCCCAGTCAAGGGTTGCAGGTTTGATCCTGGCACTGGTCGGGATTGTGTGGGAGGCAACCAATCGATGTGTCTCCTTCATATCGATGTCTGTCTCTCCCTCCCTCCCTCCCTCTCTATCTAAAAATCAATGGACAAATATCCTCGGGTGAGGATTAACGAAAAACAGTTTTAGTGCATACTAGCAGCAAATAATCAGAAATTAAATTTTTAAAAGCTTCATTTACAATAGCATCAAAAGCATAAACTAGGAATAAATTTAACAAAAATAATGTGCAAGACCTCTGTACTGAAAACTACAAAGCTGCAGAGAGAAGCTAAAGAACTATCTAAGAGGAGAGCTATGCTGTGTTCATGGATTGGAAGCCTCAATATTGTTAACATCTCAGTCCTACCCAAAATCATCTATGGATTCAATACAATTCAAAGTCCCAGAAGAATTTTTCTTTAGAAATTGACAAGCTCATTGTAAAATTTCTGTGGAAATAGAACCAAGCAAATACAAAGCCATCTTGAAGAACAAAATTGAAGGACTTGGAATACTCACATCAAGAAAGTATAAACCTTCAGTAATAAAGACAGTGTGGTACTTGCAAAAAAAGTCAACAAATAGATCAAAGAAACAGAGAATCCAGAAATAAATTTCCACAAATTTAGAAACTTAATACAACTTGACCTCCTAGTTTTCACGGATCAGGAGTCTGGGCACCAGTTAGCTGGATCCTCTGCTCAGATTCTCGATAAGCATGAACCAGGGTTGTGATCTCACCTGAGGCTCAGGATTCTCTTCCAAGCTCACTGATTATTGGCAGAATTCAGTTCCTGGAGCTTGTAGGACCAGGTCCCCATTTTCTTGCTTACTGGCTGTGGGCTCGGGGTCGTGTTCAGTTCCTAGAGACTATATTCAGACCCTAGTCTCACGGCCCTCTCACGTGGTTGTTTACTTCTGCCAAGCTATCAGGAGAATTTCTTTTTAGTTTGCTTCAGGATCTTACCCAACTGAAATATATGCACAAGAGTGACTATTGTATCATAGTCACAGGTTCTGCTCACATTTGGGGCCAAGAGGAAGTATTATATAGGACATGTACCCCAAAGGGCAAGAGTTTGGGGGCCGCCTTAGCATTCTGCCTACTACAGTACCTACTTCACATGATATGATAAAATTAACTTTAGATTCAGTGACCTGAATGTAAAAACTAAAACCGTGGCCTACCCCTGGCCAGTTTGGCTCAGTGGTTGGAGCGTCGGCCTGCAGACTAGAGAGTCCCAGGTTTGGTTCCCGCTAGGGGCACGTACCCCCCAAAATAAAATAATATAAACCATAGCCCAGCCAGTGTGGCCCAGTTGATTGAGCATTATCCCATGGTCTGAGAGGTCCAGGTTTGATTTCTGGACAGGGCACATGCCTGGGTTGCAGGCTCGATCCCCAGCAGGGGGGAGTGCAGGAGGCAGCTGATTGATGTTGATGTCTCTCCTATCGATGTTTCTATCTCTCTCTCCCTCTTCCTTCCTCTCTCCCTAAAAAAGTAAAAACAACCCTGGCCAGTTTGGCTCACTGGTTAGAGCATTGGCCCGCGGACCAAAGAGTCTCGAGTTTGATTCTGGTCAAGGGCACGTACCTCAGTTACGTTTCGCTCCCGGCCTTGGTCATGGTCATTCGGGAGGCAGCCAGTTGATGTGTCCCTCCATGTCGATGTTTCTCTCTTTCTTCCTTTTCCTTCCTCTCTGTCCCTCCCTCTCACTCTATCTGAAGATAAATGGGAAAATATCCTCAGGTGAAGATTTTTTTTAAAAAGTAAATAAAAACATTTTTTAAAAATCATAAAACTTTCAGAAGAAAGTATAGGAAAATACCTTCATGATTTAGGGGTATGCAAAGATTTCTTAGGTCACAGAATGCACTAGCCATGAAATTAAAACGTCAATAAATTAAGCTTCATCAAAATTGAAACTTACTCATAAAAGACACCACTAATAGTCGAGCCATTGACTGGGAGAAAGTGTTTACAGAACATGATCTGCCAGCAGGTGGCAATAAAGTTCATGCAGTCAGGGTGGTTTTTCTGATTTGCACAAAAGTAGGTTTATTTGCATTTATTTTATTTGTCCCTTTTTCCTTCTCAGATACAGCATGGTCTTTTATTCACTGGGTCCCAGCCTTATAAGTTTTTTTTTTCTTTCAAATATTTCTAATTTAAAGTATAGCAAACGTAAGACAAAAAAACTCCCATATAACCCTTGGTCTAGTAGTTCATCAGTTGTTAACATTTGGTTATTTTTACTTTATCATTCCCTCCCTCTTCTCTATAGACACATGTGTTTTTTTTCTGAGCCATTTAAGAGTTGGTTGCAGCCCTGGCCAATTTCGCTCAGCGGTTAGAGCATCGGCCCGCAGATCAGAGAGTCCTGGGTTCAGTTTCCGCTAGAGCGGTGGTTCTCAACCTTCCTAATGCTGCGACCCTTTAATACAGTTCCTCATGTTGTATATGGGTGTATCTGCATCTGGGTGGACCTGCCTGGAGACGGATAGAGGAGCGGTGCCTCGGTTCCTAAGACCATCAGAAATATGTGTTTTCCAATGGTCTTAGGCAACCCCTGTGAAAGGGTTGTTCGACCCCCAAAGGGCTCATGACCCACAGATTGAGAACTGCTGCGCTAGGGGCGCGTACCTCAGTTGCGGTTTGGCCCCGGCCCCGGTTGGGGTCATGTGGGTGGCAACCACTTGATGTGTGTCTCTCACATGAATGTTTCTCTCTCTCTCTTCCTCCCTCTCTCTCTCCCACTCTTATCTGAAGATAAATGCAAAAATGTCCTTGGGTGAGGATTTAAAAAAGAAAAACTGGTTGCAAACATCCTGCCTCCTTTACCCTAAATACTTTGGGGTGTGTTTCTTTTGAACAAGGAATTTGTTTAATAGTACACTTAAGTTTTTATCAAATTTAGGAAATTTAACACTGATACAGTGCTTTTATCAATTATATTGTCCATATTCAAATTTTGTCAGTTGTCCCCATGATGTTCTTTGTAACTATTTTTACCCCCGTATCTAGAGTCCAATCTGTGATCACACTTTGCATTTATGTGTTGCAAAGTCTCTTGTCTTTTCACACTCTTGATATTTTTTAAGAATATAGGCCATTTGTTTTGTAGACTATTTCTCAGTCTGCATTTATCTGGTGTTTTCTCATTAGACTCAGGTTTTATGTTCTTGGCAAGAATACTATAGAAGTGATGTTATATCCTCAGTACATTACATCAGGAGGCACATGGTATCAGTTTGTCCCATCGCCAAGCATTGTGTTGAAACTGTTCTTGATCCTCTAAACATTGTGTGTTGAAACTGTTCCTATAGTTATATGAACGGTGACATACATATACTTGGACTCTGACTATGGGAATTGCTCTTGTAAGTAGGTAGCATTCTGTTCAGCTTTCCTGTTCAGTCAGGTGAACCTGAATTGCCTCCCATTTCTCTTTCTCCTTTGCAACATCACTGTCTGGGACTCTCAACCTCTCCTCAGTGATCCTAAAACCTACTACTTTCTCCTAGTAGTCACATCTCCTAGCTGGAATCTTGGAACCAATAAATAACCTTGATTATTTCTTCTATACAATGAGTATATCTTTAGTGTTTTCTTAGTTTCTAGTTAGGTTCCCGTGGGCTCTAGCAAGGTTAGGCTTCAGAGAACAGTATTGAAGCTGAGTATGGGAAAGAACTAGGTGCCAGTGGGTCAGCTGGAGTCAGATTCAGGTTCATGTTACTCTCAATCACAGTCTTTCAAGCTATCATATTTTCATTATAGTTCAAGTTTGAGTGGTTTTTGTGTGCCATTTATAGTGCTAAGTGTTCTACATGCATTAGCCTTATATATTTCTTAAAACAACTCTAGGAAATAGGTGTCACTTTCTTCGTTTTATAGATGAGAAAACAAAAGTTTAGAAAGGTTGATTAAGGTAATGTGCCTAAAAATTATCAGGACTCAAACTTATGTTTCTCCAACTCCCTTTCTCTCTCTCTCTCTCTTTTTTTTTTAACATATATATAAACGAAGAGCACAGAAGAAATTTGGAATAGAGTTATTAATGTTGAAGTTAGCCTTTACAGATTGAAATTCAAATGTATCATTGCTAGATTGGAGGTGATTGCTAGTAGTGTACACCCAGGGTTTTTGAGGTTTCTTCAGGTAGAAGAACTTAGATTTTTCCAGGTTGGATGTCCCCAACCATAAAACCTACTTGCCTGGGACAGTCTTGGTTTATTATACCTATTTCCTAACAATTATTAATAGTGTTCCCACCTATTTTCAAAAGTATCATGGTTTAGATAATTATTTGATCCCCTACCCATAATCCTTCCTGAGTACCCTTCGGATTAACAGAGACTGGTGCTTCATTGTGACTGACACGAACAGAGCCTGATTGTCTTTATTCACTACTCTCTGCCCCCAGCCCGATTCATACATTTCAGTTTAGCTTTGGTTTCATAGCCTATTGACCCAAATGATCTTTAGGCATAGTTTGTTTAATTTAGTCAACAGTTATCAAGATTTTACCATACTTGCTCTTCCATCCTTTCTGCTGAAACATTAGAAGTAAATGATACTTCACCCCATTGTACTTCAGTAGCTACCTCCAAAAAATAAGTTCCCACATTTTTATAAACCTGTCCAGAAACCAGAGGAACCTTTTGCTCTGTGAATATCACCCCTGACATAATGTGATTTTTCACCTATCAGATTCTCTGAAGGAGGGGGCACCTGTAATTGCATGCCAGTGTCCTGCTTCTCAGGCATGCAGGACACAACCAGAGGACAGTCCTGGCTACTGGCTCCTGGGTGTCCGTGTAACTTATGTTCCCTTTTCTTTCGACAGTGCATGATCTGATTTTCTGGAGAGATGTGAAGAAGACCGGGCTTGTCTTTTGCACCACGCTGATCGTGCTGCTTTCCCTGGCAGCTTTCAGTGTCATCAGTGTGGTTTCTTACCTTATCCTGGCTCTTCTCTCTGTCACCATCAGCTTCAGGGTCTACAAGTCTGTCGTCCAAGCTGTACAGAAGTCAGAAGAAGGCCATCCATTCAAGTGAGTCGAAGGATAACAAGTAACACTTTACAGTTTAGTGAAGGGGTTTGCTGAAGCTGGGCAGGTGTAAAATCATACCTGACAAAAAATCAAGAATTATATGGTCCAATGCAGCTGGTTTGTGGAGTGAAACAACAACTAAAAACTATGGCACCACCCTAAGAAGTGACCAATTAGGAGCCAAGAACTTTTTGACAAGCTAGAGTCTCACACGTTAAGACCAAAGAGAACTGTCTAAATTCCTGAGCAGGGTAGGCAACACAGCATCAGGGGCACTCAGATGGGGGCCAAGCACTTGTTTAAGCCTCACATAGTTAAATCTTAAAACGACTTTGAAATCTTGGTATTGAGGCTGTACTCTTAGTGATATCGGAACTCAATGTGTTTACCCTTGGTGTTATCACCGATTTCCTTCTTCTCCTTTAGTTTTCCTTTTTTTTTATTCTCACCCAACGACATTTTTGCATTTATCTTCAGATAGAGTGGGAGGGAGAGAGAGAAACATCAATGTGAAACAGACATATTGAGTGGTCACCACCCACATGACCCCAACTGGGGCCAGGGACAAATCGCAACCGAGGTACGTGCCCTTAGTGGGAACTGAACCCTAGAGTCTCTGGTCTGCAGGCCGACACTAACCGCTGAGCCAAACCGGCCAGGGCTCCTTTAGTTTTCTTAATACCAGGGGCAAGTCTTGATGAATGTAGGTCATGCATTTCTGGAATCTAGTTGCTAGCTTTTCTGACTGTGCTGTAACTTTAACAACTGTATTCCTCACACTTTTCCTCTTGAAAATCTTAGGCCATAAAAAGTGTTAACATTAGCAAATGATCTTTTTTTCAAACCCTTTTCTCATAGAGAAAGAAACCCTGTTGTGACCTCCTTTATCTGTGACAGAATAGGTGTCTGTGGCTCTGGTCCTTGCGTTTTCTCTTGGTGGAAATAGAATAATTTAACTATATGTGGCATTTGAAAAGTTATTGCAAATTAACTTTAACAAGTCAATAGTTGTTGAATGAGTGAATAAATTGTGTTATTTTGCCACAGGCTCAGAGGTCTTAGGATTTTTCCCCTCTTGCATGACACTGTTGTAGATGTGTAAAATGTGCTTTGCTAAGTTGAATTAATTACAGTTAAATTTTATGACTTTCATATTTGGTAGTAAATATTTTTTTAATAAATAGGAAATAAAAATATGCCTGTTACTCTGTCTTTCCCACAAAACTGCAGGCATTCTAAGGCCAGAGCAGTCTTATCTTTCCTGATAGCCCAGCACCTCACAGAGAGGCTCTCAGTAGGCACTCTGAGTACTGAGTGAACGGACAACTTACAAGCTATGGTTACATCTCAATTCTGCAGTGCCTCTGGGAACAGAACCCAGGTCTTTCTTTTTCTGTAGTCTTCAACCCTATCAAACTCAATAGCTCCCCTCCTTTTTGTGTTTTCAACATGTTATAATGCCTTCTTTATCATTTTGAAATGAAATGAATAAATAATAGATCCATAAACAGAATTTTAAAAACAAATCATAATTATAATAGAAAGGAATGATAAAATAGCCATGTACAATAAAATATTTTGTATCCCAGTCAATATATAATTGCTTGTAAATAACTACACAAAAAAGTAATAAAACATCAGATACTACATGTATAATTTCCAATACAGATGTGATTTTCCAAAATGATGGGGAATAAAGAGAAATCTTAGTTAAATTTAGCGTAAACAAAATACAATTTTAGAAAATTCAGGATCTGTTAAAACTGGGGAAAAACACCTTTTGGACTGTCCCACACTTTGCAGACATCTGACATCTTTGTCTCTACCACTAAATGACATTGGTGCCCCTAGAGATTTCTAAGATGCGCCCTTGGGGGAATTTCACACGCTAGAGAACTGCTGTGCTAACAGAAAGAGGTCTTCTCCTTCCATGTCAAATGTATGACTTGTTTCTTCGTTTGGAAGGGCCTACCTGGATGTAGACATTACTCTGTCCTCAGAAGCTTTCCATAACTACGTGAATGCTGCCATGGTGCACATCAACAGGGCCCTGAAACTCATTATTCGTCTCTTTCTGGTAGAAGATCTGGTTGACTCCTTGAAGGTTAGTTCCACTATAGCTTTTGGTGATGAGGCTGAGGAACACCAGAGACTAGGTTATAATTCAGAGGAAAAACCGTAAATAGGATTTTATGAGACAAAACAATTATACGCTTATCTCCATCAACTTGTAGAAATGGGGGTAGGGGTCAGTGGAGTAGGTATCTCCTGCACCTGGGGAACTAACGTCAGAACAGGGATAATGTAGTTGACAGCGGTGCAATTACAGTCAGTCTCTGGGTCCAAGAGAACTACAGAATGCTCTTATGCACCCTCAAATGTATAGTGCAAATTGGGTAACCTTCATTTTGAAATTACTATGGCATACATCACTAAATTTATGTAGACTTAATTAGCTAGAGGTAAATGGCATCGGTTAACCTGACGTTTGTGTTACAATTATTCCTGCTGAACCCCAATGTTGGCTTTTGCAGCTGGCTGTCTTCATGTGGCTGATGACCTATGTTGGTGCCGTTTTCAATGGAATCACCCTTCTGATTCTTGGTAAGGCGGCAAGGAAAATATCTCCATGCTCTTAGAAGTAATTGGTAGGAGTAAGAGCAAAGAGAATGCCCAGCATTGTTCCACTCCTTCCGCATGGCCCTACGATCCGTAGAGACTTTGAACTGGATGTTGAAGGAACCTGTGTGTGGCCATAGGTTTTTTAAATGATCCTAATTTTTAAAAAATATCAAAACAACTAGAAGCAAAGGAGAGTCATCTAGATTTGATTTAAATATGAGGATCTTTTTTGTAGAAATCATTTTTATAATTTGGAAATTATCTGTGATAGCCAAGGTACCTATGTCCAATTGTCCTCAATTGAGAGATCTAGCCAAAATTTATCATATTGAAGATCTGTGTTTCCCTGCATTTCATGAGGAAAAATCTATGTGTTACTTGAGTTCTGAAACTTTGTGACTGTCTCTCACTTATACTTGTCATGTCCCATGGTTCTGTCTTACAGCTGAACTGCTCATTTTCAGTGTTCCAATTGTCTATGAGAAGTACAAGGTAAGCTTTGGCCTCTTTCAAATCCGACATGCCAGTTGATGTGTGACTAGTTCTAGTTCAGTTTTTAGGTATGGAAAGTTCAGAGCAATCTCTTGTAATTACTTCTATAGTCTAATTTTATACGTGAGGTACCTGTAAGAAACTGGTAACAGTGGTTTCCTCGAAATAGAGAAACTGTCTAGGAGAGATAAGGGTAGGAAGCCTTACTTTTTATACTTTGTTGTGTGCCTTTTGTGTTTCTGTTACATGGCTACCTTATCTGTTCAAAAGATATAAGTTGGAAAAAATGTTTAAATAAATAAAAGCTTGTGTCTAAAAAGAAACTATTAAGGCTAGTATGGGAATCCATCAGTGTGAACAAGTTTTTTCATTGTGGAATGATATATACAGAATGTATGCTAGATTTTGGGGTTATTCTTTACAAATTAAGTCATCCATCAATACACTTTATGGTTTTTTTATTTTAAATGAATTAGTCTTACCCAGGAGCCAAAATACATTTATGATTACAGAAAATAGATTAGACATACATTATCTGGTATTCAGAAAATGCTATTATAAGTCCAGTATCTCTAAAGGAAACACTTACCATGTAAGACTTTACCTCTGCAGAAGAAATTAACGTTTTTACTGCAACTGAGGTGTTTATGACATAATTTGAAGTCTGAAATCTAGAGTTTTAAAAATACTTTCATTTTCCAGAATATTCCATGGTGTTTTTAAAAAATAGTTACACTAGACAAAAGAACATTGCTTGTAACTTAAGGAAAATTGTTAATCTGTGTGTTGCTACAACTGAGTCACTTTCCTTCCTTAAAGACCCAGATTGATCACTATGTTGGCATCGCCCGTGATCAGACCAAGTCGATTGTTGAAAAGTAAGTATGCTTGGGTTCCACACTTCATCCTAACGTATGCTTCCCCCAGTGATTTTTAGTCCCCTGTGTAAAATGCTGATGCCAGATTTCCCCTGAAATGTCATTTTTAACCTGAGAAAAAAACCTTGGTTAATTGTTTGATTTTACAAGAGAGTATTTCATCTTTTTTTTAAATCCTTATTCCAGGATATGTTTTATTGATTTTTTTTTATTTTTTATTTTTTTATCCTCACCCGAGGACACTTTTTCATTCTTTGTTCAGGTAGAGCAGGAGGGAGAGAGAGAGAGAGAAACATCGATGTGAAAGGGACACATCGAGTGGCTGCCACCCGCACGACCAACCAGGGCCGGGGACAAACTGCAAGGTACATGCCCTTAGCGGGAACCGAACCCGGGTCTCTCTGGACCGCAGGCCGACGCTCTAACCGCTGAGCCAAACTGGCCAGGGCTGATTTTTTTTTTTTTTAGAGAGAGAGGAAAGGAGAGGAAAGAGAAACATTAATGTTAGAAAAACATCTATTGGTTGCTTCCAGTACCAGCCCCAACTGGGGATCAAAGCTGCAACCCAGGTATGTGCCCCAATGGGGAATCTAACTAGTGACCTTTTGGTGCACAGAACAAAGCTCAACCAACTGAGCCATTACAACCAGGCTCTTCAGATACTCTTTAAGAAACAAAACATGTGCCCTGGCCAGTTTGGCTCAGTGGTTGGAGTGTCAGCCCAAGGCCGAGGGGTCTCGGTTCAATTCTCAGTCAAGGGCACGTACCTGGGTTGCAGGTTCAACCCCCGGCCCATGTCGGAGTTGTTCAGGAAGCAACCAATCGATGTGTCTCTTTCACATTGATGTCTCTCTCTCTCTCTCCTCCCTACCTCTTCCATTCTAAAAAATTAATTGAAAAATATCCTCGGATGAGGAGTGACAAAAAAAAAAGAAAGGAAACAAAACTTCTCAATTAAATCTACTGTTTGTATCCGTTCCTTTCACACCCCAGGTTTTAATGCTTTTTCAGCTTTAATAAGAGGAAACTGACAATGTCCAGACAACTCTGGCTTGATGCCAGGGTCTTTACCTGCTCTTTTTAGGTATACATCAGAGCTGAAACCCGGCAAGAACAGTTAGCACAAAATGTGTGTCTAGTTGCTGTTCATTCTGATTTTGAAAGATGGTTGTAGCTCACTTGGCTTTGAACCCAATGTCTTGATTAGCAGTGTTGGCTGACTTGGTCCCCTGCTGTGGAATGGAATACTTGTGGGGAGTAGCTTTGACATTAGCTGAAGAATGTGAATGACCTCAGTCATGGGGGAACTTAGAATAAAGGGCAACTTTGGTGTCCTATAGGGAGCTGGAACTATTGCCAGCTCCTGTAGTTTTTAATATGTCTCCTTGACTCTTGACTCTGGGATCCTTGACTCCTGGTTCCTTCTATGGCACCAGTGAGTGACCTGCATTTCCAGAGAAACGGGCTCTTTCACTGCCAGTGTGTAGAACACAGTCAGCAGACATCATGCCCAGATATTCCTTATTCTCTGGAGGTTCTGGCGCGGGCAAGCAGCAGGCTGAGTGGCAGGGACCGGGAGTGGGTCTTGGTAGACCACACTCACCTTACCCACGCCAGATTCTTTTCATCCAGAATGAGCCCTCTGGAAATGGGAGAATGTTTTTCAACTGCTCCAGCAAATCCAGGACTGTCCTCTAGCATCACTGTTAAAATAAAAACCTAGAACTAATGTCTGCTTTTACCTCCCCCCCCCCCCAATAGGATACAAGCAAAACTACCTGGAATCGCAAAGAAAAAGGCAGAATAAGTACATGGAAACCAGAAATGCCACAGTTACTAAAACACCATTTAATAGTTATAACGTTGTTCCTTGTACTATGAAGGAAAGTGCTCAGTGTCAGCTTGAGCCTGCATTCCAAGCTTTCTTGTTTTTTCATTTTGGTGTTTCCCCCTCCTTTCCCTTTACCTGCAGTATCAAGCACAAGAATTGCTGGACTAAAAAATGAACTGATATCTTAGAACCCAAAAGAATACAGACAGAATCAGTTGAATGGGATAAATCAGTAATGGTGGTGGAGCCTTTATGTGTAGCTTGAAAAGGGAAAGATTGGAGGGTAAAGGAGAAAAAGAAAGAGAAAACACCTCTCAGGTTCTTCTATTTAATTTGCAAAGCTATGTAATTTTCTTACATAGCTCCCCATCACAATTTTGCCCTTATTTTTAAGTGAAGAAATAATGGTTAACTTAAGAAGGAATTATCTGGGGACAAGATTGGGATTCCTTCCCATGCGCTTGTGGATTTTGCAGTCCTTGATGCCATCTTCCTGCCCCGCAGTGTGAGCAGCTACTCCTCATACTCCTCTTCGCATATAGATATAACTTTCAACTCTGGATAACTTATAGGTGATAGTAATGATTCCTGATTACCAGAATGCCCTCTGATAGCCAAGAACGGAGACAGGGGGACTGCATGAGCTCTGCTGCCCACTCCTTGCTCGAAGGAGAGGCTCTGCCATTTGGGAGGTGTGTCTGGGCCGTTTGGACACCAGTTCTAGCTTCAGTTGGAGAACTCTTCCCGAACGTGCTTTCCTCCCTCTCCCCTACCCACCTCACCTCAAGTTTAATAAATATGGTTGTACTTTTCTTATTATGAAATAAATGTCTGTAACTGCTGTATACTGCTGTAAACTTGTTAGAGAAAAAAATAATATGCATGTGGGCTCCTCAGTTGTTGAGTTATTGTGATCCTATCTTAGTCCATGGAGTGGGGGAACATTCTCAGGAGGCGAACTACAGAAACACAAAGGCTTTTTCTTTTTTACTCTTTTATCTTTTCCCTACATCCTCCTCCTTCACAGGCTACATCTCCAACCTGTGCTCATCATTTACCCTGAGGCCCAAAGCCGAGCTGGCTTAGAGGAGATGGTGTGCATGTCTGTAGTTGAGACCACAGATGAGTGTCAGGAAGTGCATTTGGTTCTTAGGGAGTTTTTTAACTTTGAGACTAGCTTCTTGGTGTGTGTTACGTCTTGAGGGTTCCCTTCATTTCAGGCACATAAAATGTCCTAGTACATTTGCCATGGCCCAGGGTGCTCCTTTTGAGTGTTTTCCAGGAAGCTTTAGGTAACGGCAAGCGGGCAGGGTCAGATGGTGTTGATGAGCTCTGTACACAATTAAAGACAACAGAACAGCTCACCCTGACATCAGATGGAGGGCGATTGGGAATTTAAGTGTCTTCCTCCCCATCCGACATGAAAACTGAGTAAACTTGAAAGCTATCTGTGAGTTCCTTCAGGTTGTAACTCATGATAATCCAGAGAGATTATGCACTGGTGATTGTAAAGTAAGGGCTACGATCTTTGATGGTCCCAAAGCACTGCAACTCTGTAGAATGTAGCAGAAGGGAATTTTTTTTACTTTTTTGGGAAAATTACTTAGGAATTTAGATGGGTAAAAGGTACCCTTGCCTTACTCCGTTCTATTTTCTTAGCCCCCTTTCCTTTTGAAATTTTTAACTGATTTCATGTCATAGTATAGAAAATGCATTCTCCAGCCCATCCTTTGCCCTCCCAGTGCACTGATCATCTTTTTGGGCTTCCCCTCCAAAGGACCATTGTCTGTACTGGAAGCCTCCACACCTAGCTCTTTTGTTTTGTAAGTGCTGTGTTTAGATAATTGGACAGATCTTTGTGCCACACAGGATTTTTTTTTCTTTTAAAGAAAAACCTATAGATGAAAAATTACTAATGAAACTGCGTGTGTGTGCGTGCAACATAAAAATACAGTAGCACCTAAGGAGCTTGAATCTTGGTTCCTGTAAAACTGCAAACTGATGTGGTATTAATAAAAACAAAGTCTGTGGTGTCATTCTGCTAACTTTATTCTTTATACACAGTTTGGATAAAGTAAAAACCAAACAAGGCTTCCACTGGCCCCCATCCCGACTCCACTTTTGAGGCTTTAAGCAATAGTTGATACCGGTATTGATGCCCAAGACTGCAGAATTTCCATAGTAGAGCAAGGACGTGTATTTGGTTTCTGAAAGAAAATAAGAGTCCCTCTAAGAGGTGAACTTAGGAGAAAGATGAGGAGTGGAAGGGGCCAGTGGGGTCTGCTGTCCCAATTCAGTCTCTCACCAACCTAGGAGGTTTCCCCACCTGCAACATATGAAGCAGCCTTCAAGTCACACATGGCCACATCCGTCGCCATGGAAAACAAAAACTAAATAACATCAGTTCTTTGCTGAAACAACCTGTCACCTGGGTCTTGCTCTCCTCCAAAACTAAGACTGTCATGCCCCTTAAGCTAGTTTTAAAACTTTATTCAACATACCTTAGGAAACTTAGGCTGAAATTTAAAAAAATAATAACTGATGCAAACTTCACAAATACGCATACAAATGTTTGAATAATGTCACTAACATGGTACATAAATATGTATTCAGAGTAACATTTACATATTGGCCGTATTAGCAAGCATACCATTAACAAAAAGTTCATGAAGGAACTTCACCTGTTCATGTCAGACTCCCGAGGCAAGGAGGTATACACCTAGAGTTGAGGACCTTCTGACCCCTAAGCCGTGAGGCCATAGCTCCAGTCAAAGTAGGAATCACCCCAGTGGCACTTCCTAGATCACTGGCACTCAGCACCAAAGTGAGCCTCATTTGTGATCATTGAAAGGCTTCCCAAAACAGATTGCTGGGCCCTGTCCCAGTTTCTGATTCAATGAGATGGGGCCCAATAATTTCTGTTTCTATGAAATGCCTAATACGATGCTAGTCTGATGGCCACTTTGCAAACCACTGGAGTGCTTGGGGCTGCCATGAAGCCATCCACTCCTGTCCTAAGGCCCCTCCCTTCCTATCAAGAGGAAATACTATTCCTAACCTGCTCTCTGCCCTGGCTTACCTGAACTTCGGCAGTGGGCTTGGGTGAATATAACAGGTTGCCCCAATATGCCTACTGTTTTGAACAGGCAGAGTAGCAAAAGTGGTAGAATACTCATTCTGGATTTGAAAACAACTTGTGTGAAGGAAAATAAAAGAATGGCAGTGCCCAGCCTGGTGCCATCCATATAATCCCTGGTCTCAAGCTTGTAATACTGTCTCAAAAACCCTGCAAGTTCAAACAAACTACTCACTTTTCAGTCACCTGAGGGCCCACGCAGTATTTTCTAACTCCAGGCATCAACACCAAAGGACACAATGCCAGAGTCCTTGCCCTGTTGGGAAGACTGGGAGGCCTTGGGCCACACAGCAGTCAAACCCACTTGGGTTCTGATGGAGAAGGCTACTGCCCACATCCTCCAGCGGAAAGCCTATGGTGGCAAGACCTACCTTGTAGAGGACTCGTTCCAGGAAAGTGCGGTTCTTTGCCATCCCCAGGTCACACAACTAACTGCGGCACCCAGCACATGCCATCCTTGAACAGGCCACATAGGAAAGTTTTACAACTTACCAGAGATTGGGAGGCAGTGTCATGTAGTGCAAAGAAATTGAACTGGGAGTTTTTTTTTAACTCTAGTTTTTGTACTGTTCCTAGATGGCTGTTAAACAGTTTCTGGGCTCATTTTACCTATCTGTGAAAGGGGTGGAGGCAGATACTAGTTGATCTCCAAGGTCTTTCCAACTCTGACAATCTTGAATTATATAAAAATGCTATAAAATCCGTGGTATAAAATCCAGTTCCCAAATCAGGAAGAGTCAAGGGGACTGGGCCTGAGGCACTTGAACCTTGGGCTCTGGCCTGGTGGAGCTGGGATGAGTGGAAGGGCTTCCTCTGCTGTCTGCTTTCCCACCCGTACAGGCAGCCCCTGGTCCCGGTGCCAGGGCCCCTCCACATCCAGATTCAGCCCTGAAGTCCCAACCACTGCTCCCCCCACCCCCACTCTCAGGCCATAAGACCCAAAGAACTGGCCTGGTTATGTGAAGAGCAGACACTGGGGCCTGGAGAGTCACAGTATGGGATGTTTGGTATCCTCTCACCCCCGTCCTCACCCCTTCCTTTAAGTCCTTCCTCCACCACCTCACAGCTTATCTCTGATAGACGCATAATAAATAAGACATTTGCACGTAAGGGTGACTGGGACAGCTCTCTCCCCGCCCCTCCCCTCTCATATAAAAGCATTAAATACAGTTTCAAAATAAAATACAAAAAGCAAAAAGGGCCTGATCTCGGGGCCACCTGTTCTCCACAGGAGAATGAATCTACACATCCCTCTCGGACCTGCCTGGGAGATCGTGGGGCCCCTTCCCGGCCCCGCAGTGGGGAAGAGAAAGAAAGGCCGAGGCCCGGCCCCAGGGCCCCAGGCCCCAGGGACTGAACGGCGGCGCATCCACCGCGTACAAAGGGGGACAGAGGGAATGGGAATACATCGCCAACTGCCGGGACCTCCAGTGCCCCGGGTTCGGACCCACCGAGGCGCTTCAGTGGAGCAGCAGCACCTAAGCTGAGGGGTGAACGGAGGCCTCCGGAGCAGGAGAGGAGCAAAGGAAAAAGTGCTAATCCCTTTACAAGATCACGGTCCAGCGGACGAGGCGGGCACCGGGAGGCGGGTGGGGCCACCAGCTTCCTAGTCCCCACCGAGCCCGCTCAGGAGGGCGCAGCCCGCGGGCCCCGCCCCGCGCCGCCGCGGGACCGCAGTCCGACGTGCCTTTGCCCCCGGCGGGCTCCAGGGCCCCGCCTCCCCGCCGCCAGAGTCTAGTACAGGCCTCCGAGCCACCGAGAACACCAGTAAGACCAAGGCAGCCGGGCTGACCCGGGCGCTTTGCCTGCCGGCGAGCAACGCTGCCGAGCTGGGCCCCAGGCCAGGGAAGGAGCCGGCGCGCCCTTCCTGCCCTTCCCGCCACCCCGCCGTAGGGTCCTAATACTGACTTGTCGGCGCCCCCATCCCGGCCCGGCACAGGATCTCTTGGCCGGTTGGTGTCGGACGCGGGCCGGGGCTGGAAACGCTCGGTGCAAACGCCTGGAAGCCGCTGTGGCTCATCGGGAAACGTGGGGCCCCGCGCGAGGTGAGCCAGGGCCCGAGCGAGGTCTGACTGGCCCCGGGAGCTCCACAGCACCCCACCAATCCCCAATCTCCGCCCTGCCCGGCCAGCGGGGGGCAGCGGCAGCGCTCTCCAGGCCAAGGGCCTCCTCTGCCCGGCCCGCGAGTCCGCTACGCCCATCACGCCCGACACACGGCACCAGCCTTTAGGTCCGAGCCGCCGTCGCGCGGCGCCGGCGCCGGCGGCCCGAAGCCCTCGTGGCCGTAGCAGCGCAGCGCCGCCTCCTCGTAGGCCTCCAGGATGGTCTGGCGTTCCTCGGGCGTGAAGTCCATGGAAAAGGGGTGCACCTGCAGGATGTGCCGCTTGATGGTGCTGACCTTGAGCGTGGCCAGCGCGCCCCCGCACACCATGCACACCAAGCCGCGCCGGCTGCCGTCGTAGTCCATCAGGTACTCGCCCCGCCAGCGCGGCTGGTAGTTTCGCCGCTGCTCTCTGCTGCGGGGCGGCGGCGGCGGCGGCGGGGGCGGCGGCGGCGGGGGCAGGGGCGGGAAGGCGAGGCCCCCGGGCTCTTGGCCGTCCTCGTCGTCGTCTTCTTCCTCCGCAGGCCGCTCAGACGGCTCCCCAGGAGAAAGTGGGGCATCACCTAGGAACGGACAAAGGACCGCATTGGAACGGGTGGGCCAGAAGCACCCCGAGTCCTGCGTCTGTTTCATAACCCCCCATTTTTGCCTTCCTGTCCCATCCTCCCCAATCTCCTCTCCAACCTTCCCCTCGTTGCCCCCCTTCTGCCGAAGCACTCCCCAACCCATTCTCCCTGCCTGGCTGGGCCCCTGCCCCTCTCCCTCTCCACCTGCTCTGGCACTCCACCAGCTCACCCCACCACTCCTCTTCCTCTGGCTCCTCCTCCTCGTCCCCTCCCCCCTCCTCGGAGGCTGCGGCTGTGCTGGGGGCGGCAGGGTCCTTGGAGGACTCCGGGGAGGGCAGCCCCAGGGCCAGCAGGTGGGCAGCCTTCTCGCTCCACTCCTGGGCGATGAGGGCCTTGACAGGCCCGCTGAGGCGCGTGGAGCCCGGGTGGCGCTGGCGGATGTGCCTCTTGATGGTGCTCATCTTGAGCGAGGCCAGCGAGCCCCCGCACACCATGCACACCAGACCGCGCCGGCCGCCGTCTAGCTCCATGAGGTACTCCAGTCGCCAGCGCTCCTGGTAGTGGCGGCGGTGGTCGCGGCCCCGTGGCCACCGGCCTGGGACCCCCTCCCTCTTGCCCTCCTCCAGCTCCTCCTCCTTGTCTGCCGGCCCGGGCCTCTCAGGGACCCAGCTAGCCTCTTCCTTTACGTCTGGGGGGCTGAGATCCTGAGAGGAGGGGGCTCCAGCAGCAGGGGCCGAGTCCCGGCTTTTTCTGGTCAGGTCCTGGGGGACGAGGTCATCGTCTGTTGGGGAAGGGGTGAGGGAGAGGAGCTCAGCCTCCAGGCTGGGTTGCCCTTACCCACGCAGAGGGGGGTCCCTTGTTCCTCACCCCAGCCCCAAGCTAGAGGGATGAGCCAATATGTGTGTGGGGAGAGCGGGGGAGGGAGTCCCTCCCGATTTTAGCCACAGACCCCACTTTGCAGCCCTTATAGGAGGGGGATCTCGGCCCTGGGATGGGCCTCGCACCTGGTGGGGACTGAGTGAGCTCAGACAGTGTCTCAGGCTGGCCACCCCAGGCCTGCAGCAGGGCACTGCGCTGGGGGCCGCTGAGCCCCAGGGAGCTGGGGTGCACCTCCAGCACGTGGGCACGGATGTCGTCCAGGTGCAGGCTGGGCAGTGCCCGGCCACAGGCCATGCACACCAGCCGGTTCCCCCGCGGGTCATAATCCATGAGACACTCTGCCCGGAACCAGTTCTGCAGGGACTCCTTCAGCCTCCGTTCCAGGCGCCGAGCCCCCAGCCCCCTGCTGCCCCTGGCCCTCCAGGAAGCCGAGAGGCGCTGACGCCGAGCCCTAGGTGCCACTGGGCCCCCTCGTCGCTGGCGCCTGCTGCCCCTGCCAGCTGGGGCTTTGCCTGAAAGGGTTGGAGGGAGGGAAGGAACTGAGATGCTGGCCCTCTGGGGGAACCCCCACCACCACCACAGCCAGGACTTCCACAAGCCTCTCCCTCACTCTGACTCTGAGACCCTGGCCTAGCTGTATCCTCTTCCTCTCCCCTCAAGTCTTAAGTCTTCCATCTCCTAATCCTCCTGCACACAAACCCTAAGGCCCACCCACCTCTCCCCCAGACCCAGATTCTAGCACTTTCTCTGGACTTCCTTTCCAGACATACCTTTCTAACACCCCTCTGATCCCAGCCCTTCTCCTGCCGACCCCTCCAGCCTCCACTCTCCTTGATCCTTCTAAAGCCACAGAAATCAAAGCTATCTAGGATGTTGAAGACTTCCTCATCCCACTATCCCTCTCCCACTATTGTACAATAAGGACAATAAGCAGACCCCACCTAAAGGAAGTCAGCTAGTTGACTGAGAAGCCAGGGTTGTCCCCATTTGTCCCCACCTGCCACCCAGGCCCCTGCCTCTCCATGTCCTATATTACCTGGGCCCTTGGGTGGGCAAGCTGGGAGGTTAGCCCCCTCCTCCTCCTCTTCTTCTTCTTCCTCCTCCTCCTCCTCAGCCCCCTGGGCCCCCAGGCCCTCAGCCTCTCCACAGGCCCCCAGCCCCAAGTGGGCATCCCAGCTGTTGCTGATGACTTCCTTCTCCCGGGGACTCCAATGCAGAGAGTAGGGGTGCTTTTGGCGGATGTGCCGCTTGATGGTGCTGAGCTTGAGCGTGGCCAGGGAGCTGCCGCACACCATGCACACCATGCCATGTCGGGCAGGGTTGAAGTCCATCAGGTATTCCAGCCGCCAGTGGTCATGATAGTATCTCCGGTGGTCACGGCCAGGGATGCGGCTCTTTCCAGGCCTGGAGGCCCGGGCCTCACAGTGGTCTGAGTATTTCCTGCCTGAAGATGCTGGTCCCCTGGCCCTGGAGGAGGGCAGGGGGGCACTCCCCCAGGACCCTAAGGCACCCCCTTCCAGATGAAGATCTTGCCCTGGAGAGGGGAAAAGGGAGACAGTTTTTCAATCTTCGATTTCCAAGGAAAAAACCCAAGGCTTTGATTTTTGCAGCCCGAGAAAGGGAGGAGGGAGGGTTCATTCAGGGGCAGGAAAAGGATGGCAACAGCAATAAAAGGGATGTGGGAGAGCAGGGAGTCAAAACAGTGGCCCTTTACAGAGAGCGAGGGCCCTTTAAGAGAGCCTCAAGAACAAAAGGATGCAGGGCATTGTGAGGGACTAGCTCTGACTTTTTAAAAAATAAGGTGAACACCAAGGAGGCAGCCGGTTCTGTAGGACACTCTTTTTGGACAAGAGCTGTAGGGGTAAAGCCAGGAGAGCAGCATGCTGGGGCGGTTACAGCTGAAGCAGAGCCGGCAGCGGGGTGAGAACAAAGGGGGCATCTGTCTGCATCCAGGGCTGCACACAGGACCCACCCGCCTAAGGCCTGGGCCAGGAGGGCCCCACCCAAAGAGCTTCTTCCTTTTTCCAGTTCAGCCTCCTGAGAGTCCCATTTAGGGGCACTAAGCATTGTCAGTTCCCCAAATATAAGCAGCCACAGGAGGGATCCCCATGACAAAATTGTCAACACCTCCAAGGAAATGCATTTTTTAGGACCCTGACTTTTCTAGAGACTCTGAAAGGGGATAGCAGAAGGGCCACCAGAGTGGCTACTGAAAATTCTGCAGCAAGGAGTGGCCCCCACCCAGGGGAGCCCAGTAAGTCTTTCTGGGGATTTGTGTTTTGCTCTGGCAGGGAGCCAGCCACTGCCCAGCAATCAGAGCACGGGCACCAGAGCAGCAAGGGCAGAGCCCACTGACACAGCTATGTTCTCTTTTGCCAAACAGACAGAGATCCAGAGCAGTCCCCCACCCTACCTACAGTTTGGACCCAATTTCATTTAAGCTGAATAGACAGGTGTGATCATTATCCAAGTGGAGAATCTCAGGGTCTGGGAAACAAAAGACAGGATCAGAGAGGGCTCCTGTCACCATTGTTTTTTGTTTAAATAGCTCCAAATAAAAAACACAGGCTTCAAAGTTAGAGACCTGGGTTCGAGTCCTGACTTTACTGGTAACTTGCTCTGTGACCTTTGATAGGTCATGTCGCTCTCTGGGCCTAAGCTCTTTGTCTGTAAAGGCACTAGATAGCTAACTAGTCTGTAAGCATCCTTCCAGCGCCAGATCTATGCTAGTGTAAGGTGGACTGGCCCCTTAAGATCGAAAAAAGGGGAGGAGCCGAGATCCTTTAAAAACAAAAGGGGATGGGGAGTTTCTGGAAGGGAGCTCTGAGGTTAGGGCAGTCTCCCCTCGCCCTGACAGAACCTTCACGGGTCTTAAGGCATTTACCCTGCAGCAGGGGAATGAAGAAACTGTCTCCTTTGAGAGCGAATGGGGAGGACTGACTGATCCCACTACAACTGGCAAATTGTGGCAACATTTTCTGAAAAGACGGGAGATAGCACGCGGACAGGAGTGGGTGTCAGCCTTTGTGGGCGAGCCCTTCCCTTTAAAACTGTCCGCGGTGGGGAAGGTAGGGGCGGGCCCCCGGAGGCGCAAGCTATGCTTTCCTAGGGAGAACGTGGTGGGGAAAGAAAAAAGGATTCCTGTCTCAAAGCAAAAGAAGAGGGGCAGCCCGACTTAACACAGGGGAGTCCCCAAAAGGCACCCATAGTCTGGGCAGACTTTATAAGGGAGATCACCTCGGAGTCTGAAAGGGGCGGGGGCCGAAAGTCCAACAGCCTAGAGCGCGTGACCAGCGGTGTCTGGCCAAGCCCTTTGGGGCCCCTCGGGCCGGGCCTCCAATGCGGGGGCCGCGGGTCCCTTTAAGGGGGAGGGGATCCGCCCGAGTCCCGTGGGCCGACCCCAGGATCAGGGCGGGGGGCTCCCCCGCTGGCCCTGCAGGCTCCATCCGCGCCCACCAGGTGGCGCCCCCGGCCGCCCTGCCCGCGTCCCCCCCTTTGTTCGGCGGCGGAGAGGGGCCCGGAGCCCGGAGCCGCAGCCCTCCCCTCCCCCATGCTGGGGCCCCCACCCGAGCCACTGGCCCCAGCCCTTACCGCCGTCGTCCTCCTCGGGCTCCGTGCCGCCGCTCGATCCCGCGGGCGGCAGCCGTCGGCCCCGTGCCGAGGCCGCTGCTGGCCCGGGGCCGCCCCTGCCGCCGCCGCTCCGGCTCCGGTGGTCCCCGCTGGGCTCCATGCGCTGCGCTGTGGAGCGGGGCCCCGGGGCGGCGGGGCGCGGGGCCGCGGAGCCGGTGGCGGCTCTCGCGGGGCGCTCGGTGCGCGAGGCCCCGGGGCGCGGGACGCATGCACGGGGCAGCCGGCCGCACGGACGGCTGGCTGCTCGCTCGGCGGCGCGGGCTGGACCGGGGTGGGGATTCCTGTCTGGGGGCCCCTGGGGCTCCTTTAAGGGCTCCTGGGTAAATTTAAAGGGGCCGCGCGCTATTTCCTTCTGCCAGCTCGCGGGGGGCTGAAGGGGAGAGGCGGGAGGCAACGAGCCGGGCCGAGGCTTCGCAGCCGATGCCCGCCCCGGACGTTAGGAGAACGGACCTCGCCACCGGCGCGGGCCCCCACCGTCGCCTCCGGGGCTTCGGTCCCGGCTCCTGAAGGGTCAACGAGTTGGCGAGGGGCGCCGCGTCCGCTGCGCGCTTCCACCCAGGCTCGGCTCGCAGCCACTGCACCCTCGGGGCATCTCAGTGCACCGGCGCCGGCAGGGGGTCGGCCGGTGCGGCTGCCTTCTCCCGCGCAAGCTCGGCGCGGGCCCCAGAGCGGACGCGATTGGCAGGGGCCCCAGATGGCTGCGGCCCCGTGGAGAGGGTGGAGCCGCGGGGGCGGCTGCGCCCCCTCCCGCGGGAGCCGCCCGGGAGCGCTGGGAGTGCTGGCTTCTCCATTGGAGGGGCGGCGGACGAAGCTCCTCGGGAGCCGGCCGGGGCGGGGACCGCGGCCGCGGAGACTCGGGCCGGGAACTGGGGGGTGCAGGAGACCAGGGAAGCACGGGCCATGCCGGGGCCCTACTCTGCCGGTGGAGGGGGCCCCGGGATGGGAACCGTGAGGAGAGGGCGCGCGCCGCGGTGACTCAGGCTCCTGCCCCCGCAGGCCTGGTGGTGCCAGACACAGCCCCAGACCCTTTACCCAGCCAAAGGAGACGAAGAATGCTGACCCAGGGCAGGGTGTCGGGCACCTGGCACCTGGGGACGCGCCACCAAGGTTGGAAAGTGCTGAGGCGAACTCTGGCTTCGAGCCTCAGGATGCCTCGGGCCCCCAGCTCCGAGGAAGCGGAGAGAAGGGACTCGGAGAGGCAGTCGGGGGCTTGGCTGCCTGGGGTCCTTTCTCTCGGACCCGCTGGAGTAGCAGGTGCTTGGTTTGCCTGTGGTTGGTCGCCAACAACAAAGGCGATTCCTAGAGGTACAAATGACAGGGTGCGGGAGGCCGTGAAGGATCTTATTATACGGAGATGGGTTATTCTCTTCGCTGGAGAGGTCCCAGCAATCCATTAAATTCACCCTTGACAGATTGGTTCACTCACTCAACACCTACTGTGTGTCCGCGTGCTTTTAGGCACCGGGAATACAGCAGTGAGGGAGACAGACCATTCCGATACTTTTTATGACTTAATAGGTATCCAAAGCTTATTAAAAAGGCAACAATCCCAGCCCTCCGGGCCCAGGGGAAACATTACATGACTTGGAACACAGAAAGTTTATCACCTAAGAGTTTGTGAAGAGGGGATGGGCTTAACATTTCTTCATCATCTTATCTTTTCTTTTCTTTTCTTTTCTTTTCTTTTCTTTTCTTTTCTTTTCTTTTCTTTTCTTTAATCCTCACTGAGAACATGCTCCTCCATTGATTTTGGGGTGTTTTTTTTAAAGAGGGGGAGAGAGAGAAACACCGATGTTGGAGAGAAACATCCATCAGTTGCCTCCTGTATGGTAGATACATTGGATGACGCTCCAGCCAAACGAGCCACCCTGCCAAGGTGTGCTTAAAGTTGTCTGTCACCATTGAAGATGTCCCATCTCTGCCTCAGTCCCCATGATTATTTACAAGGCATCACCTTAGGTAAATTGAGTCTCCTGCAACTGTGCACTCTCTGCTGCTGGCCTTGATCTCAGGGTAGAGTTGCACTTCCTTTCACCCACTTCGGAGCCGGGGTCCTGGTACTGATGGGGTGCCAGCTGAGGCCATGAAATGGGAGATTCCTTTACTCATCATGTCCTTCGCATTCCCTTTGTACAAGGCCCAGGGACACAAAGGGAAAGTAAGACACAGACCTGGCCTTCTGGAGCTCCTAAGTATTTTTTTTTTTAATCATTTCAAAGGTAACATACCCTCAGGCCTGGCCACTGTGAGCCACTTTGGTAAATGTCCTTCCAGTTTCTACACATATAAATAGGATAATTTATTCATTACCAAAAGAAAGCTATCAAAGCCACCTGGAGCCATTTTTAACAACCTCTGGCTCTCCTTTCTTTGCCCACATCCTGCAGGGCTTCAGGACCAGCTCCAAGCTCCACATTTCAGAAGCATTTCCCACTCACCATCTGATCCTTGCAGCCACCCTATGGCGATGATGCTTCACTTTGCAGTTGAAGAAAGGGAAGCTCAGAGTCAACAGTCTCACCCAAAGCCATTTGTTCATTCATTTTTCTTGTCCACTTCTTCAGAAAGCATTGACTGAGCCAGTCCTGAGTGCCTAGCACTGGCTGGGGATATAAGGGTTTAAACAAAGATAACAGCTTTAAGGGGGTTCATCCCCCCATCCTAGGAGCTCTCCATCTACTGGTTCTGCTGTGGGAAGGCAAGAAACAGGGCCACGTTATGATTATTTTCATGGACCCTGGGTACTTTGACCCGAAGGAGCAGCTTCCTCTCTCTCTCTCTCTCTCTCTCTCTCTCTCTCTATATATATATATATATATATATATAATATTTATACACACACACACACGGAATGATTTAATAATTTTTGAGGGCCCTACAAATTTCATTCTTTTCTGATGTTAGAAAAATAATACATCTTCTTTGACCCTTAAAGTTCATTTTTGTCTTCTGACTTCAAAATAAATTAAAACGTTTTCATGAGCCCTTAAAAGTATCATGAGCTCTAGGCACTGTGACCTGGTGCCCCGTGGTTAGCCGGCCTTGATTGCAATACAGGGTGATAAGAGCTAAGGGAGAGGCCACCCAACCTGGAAAGGTACTGGTTGAGCCAAGTCTTGAAAGACTGGGAAGATGCTGCCAGGAGAAAGGAGCAAAGGCTTTTCAGGCTAAGGCTAGGGATCTGGTGTGTGGAAGAGGCAGAAGAAGAAATAGAAATTAGCAGGGGCAAGAGCCTTGGGTGCCATGCTGAGAGTCTGTTTGTCCTGGAGGCATGGGGGATGCCTGGAGCCAGTGTTCAGAGTATTCCGGAGGCAGCCCTGAGAAAGGGAGGAAGGGAGAGAAGACTGTAGACTCTGCTCCAGCAGTCCGCACCATGAAGAACAACTTTAAGGCCACAGCAGCAGGGCCAATGGAGAGGAAGCCAAAGATTTGACCAGGACCACAGCACATGTGGTGCGATCTTCACTGCACACAAGGGGCGCTAGAGAGGGCGAGAGGGGTTGAAATGCCACCTGGGTCGTCCCCCGTCCCAGCCCTGCACACTGGCTTCTGCCAGGAGGAAAGGACACCTCACCAAATGAGCTATTTGTTAACCAAACACATACCTGAAAGCTGCTCCTGCCCAGAGGGAGCCTCTTTTAGTAATTCACGGGCCAGAGGGGACCCTTTTAACTACTTTCTAACAAAGGCCCTTGAGAGCTTGCAGTGGTCCTACACTGAGTCATATTAAGAGGGTGGAATCTATAGGACATGGTGCCTGATTGAATACGATGATCAGAGAAGGGCCAGGCTAACGCTCAAAGTATCTGGATTGGAGTGACAGGGATATGAAAAGAAAAATACATCTGGGGGGTGGAAACAGAATAAGGTCACAAGCTAGAAGCTTTGAAGCCTGTATCAAACCCAGAAATTCTCATTTTTTCATCTCGCCTCTTCCCCTCCATTCTCTGACTCGGATTCTTAGTCCACTGTCTGGTGTCTGCCGTGATGTGGGCTCCTTAGGGTGGCTGTTCCCACCCTGCAAGAGCCAGAGTCTCTGGAGGAGGAATCAGAGCCCTTGCCCGGTGCTTCCGTGGCTCCTTGGGCAGTCCCATTAAAGGAAGGGCCTCGCCCTGGTCTGTTTGGCTCAGCGGTTAGAGCATCGGCCTGCGGTCCGGAGAGACCCGGGTTCAATTCCCGCTAAGGGCATGTACCTCGGTTGCAGTTTGTCCTGGGTCCTGGTTGGTTGTGTGGGTGGCGACCACTCGATGTGTCCCTTTCACATGGATGTTTCTCTCTCTCCCTCCCACTCTACCTGAACAAAAAATGGGAAAATGTCCTTGGGTGAGGATGATAAAGAAAAAAAAAAAAGGAAGGGCCTCGCCAATGTCTAGAATGGAGGAACTGTAAATAGTGTTCCTAAAGGAAGTTTTTAGGGCAGTATATGCAAAAACCTCACTGGACCCAAATATGCCACCGATTCCAGATTCTGTTTTTCAGTATGTCCCAGAACTAACACTGGTTCTGAAAAGTAGCCTTTCGGGATTCTCCAGAGGGCAAACCTAAACTCTTTCAAAGAATGAAAGTCAATTAGCCATAGAGCCTGTGAATGTCAAAGGGACTGTGTATGTAGATTGCAAATTAAACCATCCCTTGTAAAATTCCAAAGGAATTCTAAACCTAGGTTATCTCCAGGCATAAACTAAAACTCTAAACTTTGTATGTGTGTTTTGGGGGGAAAGGGCAAGGAGGAATTTCAACCCCAGTCACTTAAATTTGAAAGTAAAACACCAGTATCACATTTGTTTTCGTTTGTTTGTTTGTTTGTATGTCAATCCTCACCTGAGGATGTTTTCCCATTGATTTTTAGATAGAGTGGGAGGGAGGGAGATAAAGAGGAACACACACGCACAGTTGCATGGTCGAAAAGAGGAACGAACCTGCAACCCAGGTATGTACCATTGACTGGGAATCAAACCAGCGACCCTTCGGTCCGTGGGCCCACACTCCAACCACTGAGCCAAACCGGCCAGGGATCATACTTGTTTTTAGAAAAGAGAAAACTAGCCAGCTGTTTCCCAATGTTATTTTAATCGAGTCTTCAGAGCAGGTGAATAGGGTGTGACATCCCAAGAGCTACAGTCACAGATGGGAAAAGAAGTAATTTGTCCAAAACCGTAGATAGTAATTGGTGAAATGAAGATTTAACCCCCAGATTACCAATCTCCAAATCCTTGACACTTAAAAACACTGTTAAATTATAAAATA